AGACTCGTGGAGAATTTCCACCGTTTCATAAGATCGATAACAATCAACGACTACGTTTTTGATAGCGTTGTTAGCGGATACGTATCTTGATAATATACTGTCCGTATACAAAACATGAACGACATTGAAAATTTAAAATACTCTCTGCATGGTCATCGTTGCGTAAAATATATTCTCTTCGCTTGAAAGAAATTCTTGTAACCCTATTGTTAGCTCGAAAATTCATTCGTAGAATATTAGCAAATCGATTCCTACAAAGGAATAATACATGTTTCAAAATGTGAATGGTAACGTTCGACAGGGAATCCAGGGATGTGCAAAATTTGATTTGAATAACTGATAACGATCAACGTGTTGCAAATCATTCGATCGAGCTGATAAAATGTTATGTGTTCGTTGTGAGATATTTCATTCTGCGATTTGAAATTTGTATTTTTATTTAACGAACAACGGACAAACGGATGTTTATCTTTTATTTATCGTTCGAAATTTGTTGACTTATATAAGGATTTTGCCCATCTCTGAGCGAATTGACAGAACTCGTGTACCAATCGAATCATTAAGCAAGCGATAGAAAAGTTGCGTCTAAATTCAAGCGGGTAAATGCAAGTTCGTTGCTAGACGGTCATTAAATGATTTCGACATCTTGATAAGATAATCGGGTACAGCCTTCCAGCTGACGTAGCCAAGATTGTTAGTTCAATGCAAGTTTTTAGCCAAGGATAATGATTATAGAGCAATCCCATTAATCAGAGGCAGGTAAGAGCGCGATAAACAATTAAAAAACCGAAGATAAAATGAGAAGTGGCATCTTTTTTTATTCTTGACTTTGCATGGATTAATGCAATGGGATTTTATGAATAAAGGCTCGATTTAACCAACGAGTTTCATCCTTCCAACCACAGTGTAATGTTACCACACTCTACTTTCCCGATTCAACCTCATTGGGAAAAAGTAACTTTTCTCCCAACACGCAACGCAGTTACGATAATATCTGGTGACATGATTTGTTCGTTTATCGGATTCTTACCCTTCACGTTTAGGGATTGCAATAATTCAAATTTACCACTTAATATTTTAACATTGATCATTTTATTGTCAATGAATTATATAGAACAGTGGTTAACTTTTTTTTCCATGAATTTTGCCATAAATTTTGACTCCTTCGGATATAACGCGCGAAAAATGATGAAACTTGGTTTCGATTTTAGCAAATTGTTAGTTCTAAGATCAATGAGTTTATCATTGGTCAGGTCTGTATCTTCGATAGAATTTATATTAGACAGGAAAGGATTATGGATTCACGTTTAATTTGTACGTCGTTGTTAATAGAATTTAATGTTTTTAGGCGTTTGCAAAATTCGTATCATAAGCAAATATTGTTAGAGAATTTTTTATTATAATTTCGTCTTAGCAAAGTACTTCTATCAGCATTTGAAAGTTTCCAAAGACACTATTTGTAATTTCTCTGCATAAGATATAGTGGTAAGTTCAGAAATATTTGTTATGCATCTTAATGTCGAAACATAGAAAAGATAAAGTTGGTAATTTTGGGCATAACGTACGTAACAAAATTGAATTCGCGGACCCCGGATATCTAAGGGCCTCTCGGGGTCCCCGAACCACAGGTTAAGAACCACTGATATGGAAGATATTCCCTGTGCGAATATATCTTCGACGAGTCACGTATAATAATTGCGCCTAGCTATGCAACTTTACTGCCCAATTACTCGACTACTTACTCGTTTCATGTTACTGGAGTATATAATCATTTTACAAAATAATTTGTTGTTCATTCAAGAACATAATATCGTCCAATGCGCGTTTCAACCGGATATACCAGTCGCAGAACGATAGCGAGGTTTCAAACAAATCGGATTAATATTATCGAACGATCAGCGTGTTCCCTTGATCAGAATTAGATGGAAAACTTTCTCGCGTAACGAAATTCGGGGGAAAGAAAATTCGAAACTCGATAGCTCGATAGATCGAATTTTTCAACCGGTAACGAAAGAAATGTGGCCCCCACGGATTACCAAAATCATTTACCAAAAATTTGGGTAAATCTACAAATTACAAATCGCCAAGAAAATCTATTTAGGGGGATTTAGTTGATTTTGAACGAGGATCTCTGCAATCCCTACTTACATATACGACGATGCTCTCTTATCGTTTCGTTCGATTTCGATCGTGAATACACGCATAGCGTCGAATTGATTCTCACTTTATAAACTCGTCAGTGGTTGGTTGCTAATGCGCATATAATTAGATGTCGCGATGGAAACTGTCTCTGATGCGGCAGAACTGTTGCGGAGGCAGCAACGAGATTCGCCCGGCGAACAACATCTGAGAATAATTGGACGGGCTGTTGTAATCCCTGTCGCTCCGAGAGGCGTTTCTTTCCGTTCCGTGTTCGTTAAATTTTCTCGAGTAATCGCGGGATCGTCGCCCGAGAATTTTGCGACCGACTTTCACGCGTATCCTTCGGTTACTAAGGACAACGCTGGTCGAACGGTCGGTGTCGTTCGGGAAACCAGAAGGTTACCGGTTATTCCTGAAATAATTGCCTCCTTTGAATTAGCATTACAAAAGAGGAAGGCGGTATACGTATGCGAGTACGCGCTCGTTAAGACGCCAAGTTTTATTTCGCTATCTGCCGGCTATTGTTTCAACATCGCTATCCGTCAGGTCCCGGTGCGGCAAGCTTTCCTTCTCCGTCGGCGAGGGTTTAGGGACCGATTACTGAAAAATCGAAATCCCCCCTTATTACGATCGCCGATGAAAATGTGATTCTTCGAGAGTCCGTTAAATTAGGACAATTAGAAATTATCGTCCCCGGGTGACGCCATTTATTGAGAAATTACGAACCGGTCGCCGCGATCAGGAACAGAGGCAAAATGTATCTCAGAATATATTCGATAAATATGATCCAACCGAAAGACCGCGCCGCAAGAATTGTTTGGATCACCATCATTTATTTTGGACACGGAAATTTTTCATTTCTATAATATTCAAGGGCAGGAGTGATGCCGTTTCTCGTTACTGGAACAGAAGTACCGATCGCAGGAAAAAGTTTCTTATCGTTGAGATTACTTAATAATGAACTCTGAAAAGTCATGCTGCTATCGCAATCCCGCGAAAGTGTTCGAAGTAAAATCACGTGCAACGGTTCAATACGAGTGCAGGTCCCGCATAACATAATAATCATTCCGAATTGCGATGAATTCGTTCAAGTCTTTGACGACGTTTCTAACTTGAGACAAAATTTTTCTATACAGCGTTTGCTTAGAACAGAGATACAGCGTGGTCCTATTTATCAGAACCAGAATCTTTTTGGGCATAATGTCTTGACGAGTTGAGGCTTCAGATAAACGCGGAAAGGAAGATAGAAAATTTCTCTTTGTCTTTAAATTGGATCCCTTCGGTCGGTGAAATTTCGTTGCACTTTTTATCGGTTACCACGATCGTAAGATTGTTTCTCCCCGGGAGTCCAAAGGTCGTCAATAGTGGAATCGATCTAAACGAGGTACAATCCTTGAAAGTAAACATTCGAGATCGACGACAACGATCGTCGGATCATATCGAATCAAGTTGAGCGTAGCCGAGAGTGAAAGTACGTCATTATAATATTCATCGTTGTTCGCCCAAAGGATTAACCATAAATTGCGCGTCGCATCAAATGCCAACTGGCAAGTTAATGACTACCGTAATCATCTTGAAAGTCCGGTAAATCGTTGAACCGTGAGAATGAACAAGATGTTCCCTACCGTATCTTTGTCGTTGCGTCATACTCACGGCAACATGATGCTATTTGTTCTTCCGACAACGATCCCCCAACCATGATGTCCGATTGAATGTCACTGAGCCACGGACATGGACCGATACGTGACACGACGTTTCTGTTCACCGCGTAATAGAAACCCCATTACCACGGTCAGGAATTTAATTAGGATAATCGATTTCGTGGGTAATCGTAGGGTACGTAACCGTGCAAATCCCGCGGCTGCATTATCCTGATTGAACAGAGCGTTTCCTTGGTCAGACTTCTTAACAGTTAATGGAGCCAGACGTGGCGTCTTTAGACACGAAGTCGTTGAAATCTCACGAAAGCGTATATGTTGCACGTTGCAGGGGCACCATCATTCCTCTGGACCAATTGGATCTTTCCACACTTGATTTATACAGTGGCGGACGTATGCTTACTCTTCTTGATGATATCGTATAGGAAAGGAACAAATATGTGACTCTTTAATGGCATATTACGAACGCTTCTTAACATTGGAATCTCTAGTTGATAATATTGTACAGGACAGGAAGAAATTTATTTTCTCATCTGAAAATTGTGTAACGATTTTTGCTGCGTGCTATGGATCGCTATCAAGTTGATAAATCCAATCTGTTAGCGATTTATCTTTAGCAAATGGCAATAAAACGTTTCTAATAGTGTATCGTGCATTGAGTGCGATGAGTAGGTACGGTATCATGATCTGTATGTTAAACATTGATACGTTGTAGAAAGCTTTCACTACAAGCTGATACGTTGACGAATAAATCTTCGTTTTGGATCGCTCTCGTAACCACAATGAGTTTACCTGTTTTCTCCTTACTATATTATCTTAAACTGTCAAGTTATTGAATAAATATTTTATGTTTAACTATTTAGTTTATAGTATAAAGGATCTTGAGGTATCGAGATTCGATTTTACTAAGAAAAGTGTTCGAGTAGCAAATTTAATTTTTTTTACATTTTACTTTTACTGTATTTATCTACTGTAGAAAAATTTAAATAAATTTAAATATCGATAATACCTGACAACTATTCGTCTGATAAATTATAATAATTTGTAATAAATTTACCGAACGAAGCTTTCTCTTCGTTGTTGGAGGTATCGGTATTTCCAGCGAAAACCACGATTTTCATTACAAATAGGAAACGATTTTATTCGAAAGTAACCCCGTACTCGAAATCTGAGAATTAACTTTTCGTACATTTTGTATGTTATAGAATCATGCACAAGGATTTATCGAGAATGACTTACCTTGAAGTAATTATATTTTTATGTAAGTATAATATTAGACACTGCTCGAGGTACGTAATTTAAATTTTTATACACAATAGAATGTTCAAAATTCTTTATATCTTGAGGCACATGTTTTTAAAGAGAAGTAAACATTTCTTTCGAACCGTGTATGTTACGTGCACATTTTATCATGAATTGTTAATAACAAAAACTTGATACTTCTACGAAGAAATGTTTATCGTTTTCTGTAACTCGCTACTTATATGTCATTCGATTTTTTTCAGGTTCAGTGGTTAGTTTCATGCCCAGCAGCTGCAAAACAGAGGTGATTACTATGTTCTATAAAAATTACACAAACTTTTAATGTCAAAACGTACTAAGAATGTGCTATAGAATATATTAAGTAGAATAGTAAAAAAAAATATTAAAAGTTTTATACGATCGGGCAGATTGTATTTGTAACTTTAAAACTTATTATATTTATAATTCAACTTTATCGCTTATGAAAGAATCTAATCGAAGAAAATTCGAAGAAATAAAAAAAGTTTCACGATTGTACAATTTTAATATAAATCTTGGATTTTCTCACGTATCGATTTCCCTGTTCTAGTCAGAAAACGACAACAGGGAAACGAGCCTGCCAAAACTCTTGTCGGAGCTGGATCTATCGAGCGTCGAAGTATCGGCGGAGAGTACCGAATCGTTGAAAACAATTGTCAAAAGATTGGCACCGGAGAAGAATGGCGAGTACCAAGTTTATCAAGGTTCCAATGCTTAAATTACCGTTGTCGAAAGTAACTATTAACCCTCTCTGTCGCGTCTCTAAAGTACTTTCTTTCCCAGTCTTCTTCGGCAGTGTGGATCTTCTCAAGGAATGGCTCAAAGGAGCGGGTATTATTATTAATACTGTACAAGTACTGCACCGCTCACTTTCTCTTTCAGCTTCCTATCTCATAGAATAATGAGCATGCATTTAAGTGGTATTCTCTTAAAACTGATCGACGCGACAACCGAAACTTCCGACCGCGATGAAATTAATATCGACGAATTAAACGGAAACGAATAGAAAATGGACAATATTGACTCGGTGAACAGCAGAGTTGGGAAAATTTTATTCGCGACTAAAAGAGGGCAATTGCATTTTTTACATGCATCGTTAAAAAAGAAATTCATAAAATTTCAACTTCAGCCCGATTACAGTTTTAAAGGAATACAGTTTTATTTCTGCTATGTACAGAGTCATTACAATGTATGTAGATTTCCAATTTCGCATGATATGCCTATGTTTCTTTATTATTAAACAGCATTGGTACAGTTATGATCCTGTAGAATAAGAATCACCAAATAAAAATATACGTTACCATTAAAAAAAAATAAAGTTGACCGTCAAATAATTTTAAAAACTAAATAAGACAGTTCTATTTCCTCCTTGAAACCGAGAAGCTTCTGTATTAAACGCCTTGTGCCTTGTTTCTGCCCCCCCGAAATCCTATCAAAGAATAGACAATGAAGAAGTTATGAAATTTTGGAACGGGTGGACGAAATCACGTAAAAAATTACACTTTTTGTTTTCGTTAGGCGTTACGGGACAACCGGGAGTAGACTTTCCAGCTCTCACGACGATTCCTGCCACTTCGTTTAGTTGCCGAGGCCTGAAAGGTGGTTACTACGCGGACTTGGAGACAAATTGTCAAGTAAGTAATGAACGGTTTAATATATCCCGCTGGACGTAATCGCCTTAATCAAATGCGAGATTTGAAACGTTGAAAGGAGGAAAGTTTCGCGTTAAAGCGGAAATTGCACGCGCCACGTAAGAAAGCAATCGGCGAACAAAGAATGTACGTGGAACGCCTATGATCGTAACTTTCGTTTTCAGGTGTTTCACATCTGCGACAACGGTCGTAAGATCTCGTTCCTTTGCCCGAACGGCACCATCTTCCAGCAGTCGCAGTTGATTTGCGATTGGTGGTTCAAGGTGGATTGCAGCAAGTCCGCGGAACTGTACGAGCAGAGCAGCGAGCAACTGATCGAGGAGGAACGAAAGCGAGCCGAGTCGCGGAAATCGAAGTTCGAGTATCAACAGTCGATCGAGAACGGCGGACAGCAGGACTATTACGACGTTCAGAATCTCAGTTACGACGGGAAACAGAACGGACGGATAAAGACGTACGAGGAACCGCCGCTGGAGAATCAGGTGCAAGAGAGGACAAAGGCTTCCCGGTATTTCGACGGTAACAATTTTAGCCAAGAGTCGTTTGGCAACAATGGATTCCAGACGGGTCAGACCGCGAGCACGAGGTCGCAATACAATCAGTTCACCAGAAACACCGACGAGGGGAACGTGAACAAGTATTCGACGACGAGTCAGGATTATTACAGCACCCCGAAGAAGGGACAGAATTATCATGTCACCAATAGGAACTCGAACGCTCAGCGGGACGAGAAGGGGGCATTGAAGAGGCTGAAATTTAAAAGTTTCGCTAGGAACAGTTCCGCCTCCACCGTTCCTCAAAGAATTACTCCGTCGTATACGGAGTCGACCACGTTCAGGGCGAGCAACACCAGTCCGATCAAGGAGTCCCAACAGTTTGCCGAGAGCGCAGCGTTCGTTGGCAATCGGGGGAATTGGTTGAACGAAAACACCGGTAACTCGCATCAGTATTATTATCAATTGTATATAAATCGCGACTCTACCGCGAGAAGTACCGATTACGAGTCGACGACACCGACGATCGAAAGAGACAACGACGCCACCACTCAGGGAAGCACTTACTCGTTCGCGGACACCACGTCCACTTCGTACGAAACGACCACGCAATACGCGACAACCGTTACTCCACCGTGTAACGAGAACGTTATCACGGAAAGTATCGTGACGAGCCTGCCAGCGAATTCTGACGTTCCATCGGTCACGGAGTCGCTGCAATTCGCCAACAGTAATTACCATTACAGGGGGAACCTTAATTACAATACCGTTAATAATAAAAATAACGATAGGGTAAGCGTTACGAACAGCAACTCGGGAACAGATCTGCCTGCTACGACCCTTTCCTACGGAACCACGGAAAGCTATCGCTACAACAGCGTAACGCCAAGTTCTGTAAATCAGAAATACACCACGAATCAGTTTACGTCGTTGCCCACTTCGTCTGTTCGTAGCAACAGCTTTGGTCGCAGCACCGACGGTCAATACAATAGAGCAACGAGCAAAAACCCTTCCACGGTTTCACCGGTGTATCGACAGAACTTTATCACCTCGACGACAGGTAAACCGTTCAAGACTACGTTACCGTATCAACAGAACGTCGTAACGGAAAAGGATTTGAGTCCGTACGATAGGAGTTTCACGTACAAGCAAGGCAAGGTTATGTCCACTCTGGGCCCTTACATACCGTTCACTAGAAATTACGCTCACTCGACCACCGGCACGACAACGAGGTCCACACCGTACACACCTACGGTGCCTACTTACACTTCCGCGAGGACCTTGATACCGAAACTGAAACACTCCTCGCCGACCTCGTTGACTAAATTGAGAACGAACTCGGCGCGTTTCTCGGAAAGGGAACACGCTCTGAGCATGTTGAACTCCCTTAAGAATTTGGGAAGCAACGTGTCCAATTTGTCCGATACGCTCAACGTTAACGAAAGAGCGAGTAATCTTTCCGGCCCCCCGGCGCCATCTACGCTCCACTCGCTGGCCTTGTATTTCTCCACGGCCACTGAGAACTTCGACTCCAACGAGGCCACCGACTCCTCGATCAACATCGAGTCCGAGGAGGATGTACAGAAATCGTTCGTTTCGAAGAAGAGCAACGGAACCGTCCAAGTACCGACCAGTCTTTTGACTCGGCACACCATCGATTCCTACGCGGAGCTCTTCAAACTAAACGACGCTTTCGAAAATAATTCGACGACCGAGGATCGCCTGGACAATGCCAGTGTCTACGGCGAGGACTACAACGAGGACCTCGAGCTGCAACAGAGCGGCGGATCGTTGGACGATCTTCGAAAGTCGAACAGCACCAAGCTTCGAGAACTCGCTCAGGTATTCACGCATGCGCTGTCAGCGTATCTTCTAGATCCAAATACGTTCAAGAAAGTGCTCACAGAGATCAGACCGACCGAACCGACGCGGATAACGCTGGACACAGAGCAGTGGGAAACCACGACTCCGTATTCGATCGCGGACGAAGAGAATTACACTCCTTCGATCAACGAGAAAGACGAGGTTTTAGACTTCTCCGACGACGTGAGTGACCTCAGACAGAAATTGACGACCGTGTATCCAATCGTCTCCGAGCCACCCACTACGGTTCAAGAATCCGACACTCTCAATACGCTGCCGTCCACTTACTATACCACCTCCAGACCCTCGAGCCCAGAAACGTACGAACCGAGCACGAATTTTGTGTCTACCAATTCCGTGACCAACGCTTATTTCGAAACTTCGGTGCCTACCACGGAAAGCACCTTCTCTTCCGAACACGGTAGCACACCGTACGCGAGCGACTCCAGCGTCTTTTACAATCAGAATAACGAAATAGACAAAGGCAACGCCGGTCAGGTTACCGACAACTACGTTCCTACCGACGATGTCGGTAATCGAGTCGGAGGCTTCCAAAACAATAGCGCCACTATCGCCACGGAACCCGACGCGGACGGTAGATCGTTCGTTACTACTCCTGTAAGCGATAACTATGCAGTTTCTCCGACGCCATCGTCCGCGCGGTTGCTCGTACACGTGGGATCTTATAATTGGAACAAAAAGGCTACCAGCAAGAAGCCCGAGCAACAATTGACGCCACCGTTCTACGAGAGCTACGCGGAAACGATTCGGAAAGAGAATGAAAAGTCTAGTTCTGCCCTCAATCCCGAAAACTATCGTAGCACCTCTATGTCCTCTCAAAATGTACGATCGACGACCACCGATCCTAAGAACCACGAAATTTCCGTCGATCAACCTCGCACGGCCCATCGTCACAAATCGTTGTTGCCGGAACCGAGACCCGGCGGAATTTCTTTTCCCACGTCGCGGACCAGTTATATGAAATTCCGAAACGTTTACAACCGTGTGGACGAGCATAACATCGGGTCGACTGAAAGACCAACGCTGACAACGTTCAGGACAACGGAGCCGACTACTTTTACCACGGCGGACGTAGATACTACGCCCTGTGCCAACGTCGATTCCAGCGACTCGTTCGAATCGGTGAGCCAGAAAGAGGATCCGAAGCTACTGAGCAATAATCATTGGACGGCGTCGCCGGCCGTGACGCATCTTTGGGAAACGTCCGTCTTCGTCGATCCTCAACGCATCAATCACGGCTTGGAGTCGGACGTCAGCACGACCGTGTCGTCGGGCACAGACGGCTTCACGGACAGCCACGAAAGCGTGGAGTACGAAAACACGCCCTCGTTCAACGAAGGTACGACCAGCAGCATGGAGGAATCGTTCAGCAACGAATCGGAACTGGATCAATCGGATCTACCCCCTCCGTCGCAGAGATTGTCGCGGGACAAAGATTCGCCCACAACGTTTTCCTTGCTACCGACCTCGTTCACCGCTGAGAACACCGTGACGCCAAAGCCGTTGATCACCACGCGTTCGAGTATCACGACTACGATAACCTCTTCCATTACGTCCACCAATTCTTTGCCGCAAGAAGCTCTGGTATCCTCGTTGCTGCCGTACACGGTGGCGGAGGACAAGAACAACTCGAACGAGACGGAGAAAGAGGTCGCCGAGAAGCTGTTCGGTAAATTGAACGCCTCGAGTACCAACACGTTGATGAGAGTAATGAAACAAGCGGACAATAATGAAACCGTGCGACAACTCGTGCTCCTACTGGTGCGCCACTGCAACGACCCGGTGAATAAAACGATGCAGCGGGAGAAGGAGGAACTATTGAACGCACTTCTGAGATTGCCGGTAAACGAGTTCGCCTCCGAGGAATCCAGGAACGTCGTGATCGGTATCAATCAGCTTAGCGTGTCGTCCGCCGGATCGACCGCTCGCCCCAGGAATCCGTCGACCTCGGCGACGTTCACGGAGCCATCGGTCACCACGTACCGTAATAGAAAGAGTCGCGTGTTTCGTACGACCACCGAGGGCTCGACGAGCGTCAGACAATCGGAAAAGGCAACGACGACGGACGCGATCAATTCGTTGCGAGAGGACGAGAACTCCGCGTCGGATGGCAGGGCGCTCGAACTCCTCAGATCGTTGTACACGATAGCCACGAAATGGGGGTGAAATCCGAGGTGTCGCTACAACCGGAATGCGACGGGCCTTTGGAAATAAATCCTTTCCGAAACGTGTTTTTCTGAACGGAAACCATTTACCAACGTGATATTTCGCGTAATTCGATTTGTCAAATCGCTTCGAGTGTTTCAAATTCCTGTGTTTTCGTACGCCATTTTCGACGATCACGTTCAGTATTTCGATAAAGGTTGTTCGTACGGGTGTTGGGAAATGTACTACACGTAGCTGTCTCGATGAAAATACTTTTCTTTTCACTTTACGCGCACGTAATTTTGGATACAGTAATGCACGGTTAAGTTTTATAAGATTCGGGGCCCAACAGTGAAAGTTACGCGTGCAGGACTCGAAGTTGCTTGACAAAGAAGGAGAATGATTATAACGGAAGGAAGCTGGATACAGTACATCGAGCGACAACTTCAAAAATATGCCGCTAAGATAAAAAGAATAATCATACGATATACAAAATTTGACTTGCAAGGTGAGCAAATAATTGACAGTATCTCAAAAACTAAAAATCAGTTATGTATATTAATATTATACATGTTTAATTAGTCGAAGGTAATATGATTTATATGGTGTTTGGTCTTGTTTCAAACAGAAGAATTTGAAAAATGCATTGGTTTTTTCTTATTGCATGATTTTCAATCTTCTTATGGCATCTTTAACGGTCGGTAAATGAACGGCGAATTGTGTTTTGAAAATAATCACTATATTTAACAATAAACTATAACAGTAAATTACACTCCTGATTTCACGTATGTATTCGCGCGTTTTTTTGTTAGTTGGCTCGATCGACGCAGTGGCGTCGCTGTCGTTGCCGATTCTCCGGTGCAGATATGGTTTCCGCTACACAATCTCTTTGTATTCTGTGTCCCGCTTATTTTCGTTTTGTCGATTCTCTTTCCTTTTCTGTTGGATCAGGAATAGTGGGAAGTTAACTTTGCAGATTTTCGTGAAAGTTAAACGTACATTACTGAAAAGTGTACGATGTTATAGCGTCAGCGACGTATCGAACGACTCCCAATTAATTTAATTTGACATATTACGGATGAACAAACGCGTTCGTGGAATAACTCATAGTACATAAAATTATTTAGTAACGGAATTTGTTGGAATTCGTTCGTTTAGGTTGTATTCGTACATGCCTGCAATCGCACCTGATCTTAACAGTATTACATTGCATTACGTACAAATATACTGTATTATAATCGTTGTACATCCTCTGTTGAATAAATAAGAATTTCGATGACTAGAGTTAATAACTTGCCTCCACGTGAAACATCAATTACATGTACACATATACATCATGTTACCTCTAGCACGATGTACGATTTTTCATCCCTTGATCGATTATCTGACAAAAACAAACTTGGAACAAAAACTAAATGATATATGGGGTGTACTATAGATGTCGCTGAAACAAGTTTAAAATAAATACATACAGAATGAATTGTATTTGAACGACAAAATTGAGTCAGGTATATTTTGTGGTTAGAAGTAAGACGGCATCGTTTTCGAGAAAATTGAATTTTGAATATCAGACGAGTACGCGTGTATTTAATTAATATATCGATTTATTCAGAAATTTATTTTAAAGACATCTATCGTACACCTCATATCGTTCAATTTTTGTTCCAGAGATAGTTGCGAAGGGATAAAAAATTATGTGTGGCGTTAGAAATAACACACTGCATATGTCTTTGTACAAACGGTCTATGGTTTGCGCATTCTCATTTAAACTGGTAAACAAAGTGGAAGCTTACGTTACTTAAACTGCAACTTAGGGACATCGCTTAAGTCGAACATGCCGATCTTTATAAACTTCATGTATACTATAATTCTCGAAAAAATATTTTACACGTATTTTTTTTTATATTTGATATCTATATTTAAGGAGTGAAATCAACCCCTAAAATTGGGGGCGAAAAACAACTTTGGCTCGTTATCTCGAAAACAATACAGTTTAAGGGAAAAGTCACTTAGACGATAACGATGTATTTTTTTATAAGTTGCAGTAAGGCGTTCGTGACGTAAACGCTTACGTCCGCCTACGACAAAAACAGTTTTTTAACGACTGTCACTATTGTGATAATTATGTAGAGTGACTGATGCGAAACACAATGTAAATATCCAGTGTACCATAGTGTACCTAACGTTCATTGAAAACTTGAAATCGAAGATTTTAAAAAATAGATATTTCACAGTTTGGTTTGTACTTTGAGTTGACCAGTTTACACAAAAAAAATTATCAATAATTTATCAAAAATACGAATAAAAAATTAATAATCTTTCATATATTCTTTAAACAAATTGGCATTTTGCAAATCTGTTTAGTTATAAAAAAATACATAATTTTTGTCTAAAAGACTATTCTCTTAAACTGTGTCGTTTACAAGATAACGAGGCGAAATTATTTGTGATTTCATCTCTTAAATATGGATGTCGGCAAATTAAAAGAACATACGTGAAAAGTATTTTTTTTCGAGAACCATAACGTACATGAAGTTTATCAAAATTTGCGGACACGATTTATAAGCGATGTCCCTTATTAGATCATTTGAAATTGCTATAAATCTTGGTGTTGGTGCGTTCGTTTGCGTTTTGGGTATTTTAAAAGTAATAACTTAAGAAGTACGAGGTTCTTGTAATACGCACTATACTTTAAAATTAAAATTCTTTATTTCGTTGTTACATTGGAAACATGCTCGAGATCTTCGTACAAAAATATTATAAAATCGAATGGCTTTTCCGTGATGTATTTAGTCTACTTAATTCTATATTACGATTGCCCGCATTTAATTGTACTTTGCTTATAAAGAGTATTCGGAATCGATGCTTATTATACATATAGATCGCCGTCCAATACAGTAGCCAGCATGGTAGATATGATCGACTTTATGTAAAATACATTTGTACAAAATGTGAATAAATAAAAGAGGGTTTTGTTAATGTTTACACCTGCCGTTCATCGCTATATTTTTTTTACAAATTGGTATTCTTGATTTTCATCCTATTCTGGCTTCTAGAAAAATTTAGTCACCTATCCCCTGTCGATTTTTAGTAATTTTGTTTTGGCGCCCTATAGAAAAGTTGTATAATACTCTTTCGTAGATACCCATGAGCTCTATTTTAGAAAAAAATTTCATTGAAATATATTCACTATTGTAGGTGTTATGGACGTTTGAAAATTGGACCATTTTTATGGGGTTTTTCCTCACTTTACAGTGTTAAGGAGTAACTTTTCGAATATTTTTGGAATTTCTACATATTCTTCGCCAAAGTACGCGTAGTTTGCCGTTTCAAAAATTAAAATCCTCCGATCCGTTCAAAAGTTATGACATTTTAAAGATTTGCATTTCTGGTCTCACATTAGTTTTTCGGTGAAGAATTTTTTTCTCGAAAGTGCGTAGGATTTCGGGCATATGTCTATTCACCAAAAATGCTTGTAATCGACCCCTGTAACTAAACATAATTTTTTTAGCGTGATTTGAAATTTTTTAATTTCGTCTAAAAGTTCCAGTACCTTCTCGAATTTTTTTCTCGAAAGTGGGTAGGAATTCAGGGGTATGTGTATCCACCAAAAATTATCGCAATTGAGCCCCGCAACCGAAAATAATTTTTTCAGAATGATTTGAAATTTTTTAATTTAATTTTATAATAACTTTTTGATGAAGCCTCAGTTAAGAAATTGATATTCTAAAATCTCCCGTTAAAATTTTTCTCGGAGGTAACCAAACACCCTGTAAAATTTTAGGTACAAAAATAATGTAAACAAAAGATAAGTAAAAAAAGATCTTTTCCTTCGCATTACAAATAATATATTTTTAAAATAGGTGGGGCTATTCATGGGAACAACATTGCATATCGTATTATATTTACACAATAGTTTTTCTTATCGACACGCTGAAAGACGCACTAAATTTGTTCGTATCTGTCTCTCTTTGGTTGTCCGGCCACACGTGTTCCTCGATCCAATCCAAGTACGAATATACCGCCATATAAACGCCCGGAATCGAACTGCCGCAACTTTGACCGAAAGCTGTGATACCGATAACAGTGTCACCGTTTTCCGTCAACATTAATAACGGACCACCGCTGTCTCCTTGACAAGCGTCCGATCTCCTGGTGCTGTTCTTGTCTATCGCGCAAATCATGTTCTCGTCGATACCCTGGGGCAGCTTGAGGAATCCATTGTAGGACTCGGAACATTCTTTTCTATCCACAAGACTGTAATTTATCAAAATGAGAACGACTGTGCAGAAGGCGTCGAGAATCCTGAATGTTTTAATAAATTTCGTAGCACGGAGAAACAATATTTGTAGCTTTAAATAGGAATATTTCAATAGGGAAATGGGAATTATCTGTTATGCCATATCGATTCTTGCAGTTATTTTCAAGTTTGAAAATCAAACTTTTTTAGTTAATGCAGGGAGTAAAAGGAAACATTTTCATATTAATCCTTTCGAACATAGAATTTAACACGATTTTGAAACTGGTTTCCCATAAAAAAAAGAATGGGGAATGTCTGGGAATGTCCTTCAATTTACTACAGAGACAAACGAGTCTTCTAGAGATAACTGGAACACGTGTTTTTGATAAATAGATAATAAAAGCAATGTAACTAAGTTGATTTACATACGTAATTTATTACTTTTGAACTATTCGATAGATTATTAAATGTGTATTACCTGAGACTGGGCGTTTTCATCAGCGAGTTGGAGCCTTCGGTGTCGAAACTTGTGTCCCCCCATCCGATCACAATTAATGCTGTTTTCGGTGTTATACTCATAGTATTCAAGGATCTGGTTTGGAGGCAGATAGGTTTAACCGCGGTCGAGAGCTGCACTTTTGTTTTCAGTTTAAGAATAGCCACGTCGTTGTAATTTGTGCTACGTTTGTACAGCGGATGGGAAATTATATCGCTGATCGGGATGCGTTGTACATTCGCCGCGGTGCTGTTTATATGCTCGCTGCCCAATCGTACCTGCAACAACACATTGAAGCTGAATTACTTCATTTATGTAGCTATCTAAACATTTTTGGCGATATCTTGTCGGTGTATATTATCGACCTCTATAGTTAGGGTAAAAGTAACCTAATGTAGCCACTATGTAATATCTTGGTGTTCGACCACCCCTGGGAAAAATTTTAAAGGGGATTTTAGATACCAAAATAAGAAATTCAGGAATATTAATTTCCTGATTGAGGTTTCGATAAAAAGTTACTAGAAAGTTAAATTAAAAAATTTCAAATCATTTTGGAAAAATTATTCTCGGTTGTGGGGGCAAATTATAATCATTTTTGGTGGATAGACATACCACCGAAATTCCACGCACATTCGAGAAAAAAATTCTTAACTGGAAAATATGTCTGATCATGAATTAATGATTCCCCTGAAATTTCATGCGTTTCAAATCGTTCTGAAAAAATTATTCTCGGTTGCGGGAGTCGATTATAATCATTTTTTATCAATAAACATACCCCCGGAATCCTACGCACTTTCGAGAAAAAAATTCGAGTAGGTGCTGTTTTTGGGCGAAATTAAAAAATTTTAAATCGTTCTAAAAAAATTATTTTTAGTTGCAGGGGTTAATTGCAATCATTTTCGGTGAATACGTACACCCTCGAAATCCTATCCACATTCGAGAAAAAAATTCAGTAAGTGGACAAATTTTTCGACAAAATTGAAAAATTTTAAATCGTTCTAAAAAAATTATTTTTGGTTGCGGGGGTTAATTACAATCATTTTCGGTGAATACGTACACCCTCGAAATCCTATCTATTTTCGAGAAAAAAATTCAGCAAGTGGACAAATTTTTCGACAAAATTGAAAAATTTTAAATCGTTCTGAAAAAATTATTTTTAGTTTCAGGGGTTAATTACAATCATTTTCGGTGAATACATACACCCTCGAAATCCTATCTATTTTCGAGAAAAAAATTCAGCAAGTGGACAAATTTTTCGACAAAATTGAAAAATTTTAAATCGTTCTGAAAAAATTATTTTTAGTTTCAGGGGTTAATTACAATCATTTTCGGTGAATACATATACCCTCGAAATCCTATTCACTTTCGAGAAAAAAATTCAGCAAGTGGACAAATTTTTCGAGAAAATTGAAAAATTTTAAATCGTTCTAAAAAAATTATTTTTAGTTGCAGGGGTCGATTACAATCATTTTTGGTGAATACACATACCCTTGAATTCCTACGTACTTTCGAGAAAAAAATTCCTTATCCCAAAATTTTGTTATTCGCATGATAATGAAACAATCGACGTGTTTCTTTTATTTGAATTCCTTCTAAACTTAAAAGAACACAGTCCCGACCATATTAGAAAGAAAAGAATCATAGTTTTGTGAATTTTGGCCGATTCTTATTTTCTACTTTCCTGAAAGTTGTTTAACCGTACTTACTTCGATGGGAACTTTTTCGTTTATGTTATTTACACAATGTGCTGCTGTTAACACGTGTTGAAAGGATATCAAACTACCTCCGCAACCGTATCTAATGGGAGGCGCGTCCTCGTCGTCGGAGTCGTTTTCGTATCCTAAAGCGACCATGAATGGAAATTCGCCAGTCTTTGCCTCGATTCCACCGAATATATGAAAATTCAGATCTTCTTGTTTCCTATTGTATATCGTTATTTCCTCGTCATACTGTTGGCAAGCTGAAAATTACAATCTTATTACGAACAGCGAAGAGTAATTCAGAATAATTAAAAGGAATTGCTCATATTTAGAAAAGAAGTTATTTTCAACAAAAATTATTACTTCTATTATACATTGTATTGTATTTATCAAACCTTGCCTAATTTGATTTTTAGTTATTTCGTGCATTGAAACATTCACTTAAAGGAAAATCGTTTAGAAACACCGAGGAAATAAATATACGCTTATCTAGATTTTTTAATAAATAATGCGATGAGTTTTATCGTAAAGAAATATTTTTTATCCGTCATGCGTGAAATTTAGGTACCATTTGCCATTTAAATTGTAATTTTAACGAAAACTAAAATATATTCGTATATGTTTAGAATCTTTGAGGGTCAAAACGAAATAAAACAAACAAGTGCGCGTTCTGAAAAGAGGTCGCCACAGCTGACTGGTTAACGTTACAACCTAATTGTTGTCAAATTTGCGTAGCTCTTTACATATCAACCGAACCTCAAGTTTCGTTATACTTGCAAAAATACGTCAGAAAATCGTTCTAGAAGATGTATATCTTTTCCCAGAAGCCTGTACACGCATGTTTCTCGTTTTACGTATAAATTTCACTTTCAACAAAAATTCATATATTTAAATTTTAAGTAGAATATGCGAACGAGGCCCATCGCGAATCATTTATGCACATTTATAATCATATTGCCGAAAAATGTCAAACCGATATAAAACGTTACATGTACCATGTTAGATTCGACGTGGAATGTAACAAATCTTTTTAATTCCATTAATTGCGGAACGATTAAAAAAGAATTCTAGCATTTTTATTATTAAATATCACGGTTTTGAAAGCATTAAATTCTCCTAAATCGCCTCAAATTGACGAAAATGAAATTTGCAATTCAATAGGGAACAAACAAAATTTGTCGGTTCAGGGGATTTCCGAAATTTTAAACAAACATCAAGAATTCATAGTTTGAAACAAATAGATGTATCAAAGCTGGTTTATGGAACAAAACTTTCTCGATCGTGTGACAGCATATAATAAAAATATAAGCTCCGGTATTAAACATAGCAAGCAGGTATAGGATGACCTAATATATCATCCAAATCATACTGCTGTTATTTTGTCTGGGTTTTATTACATTCTAACATGACTTGACATAAATTCAAAATTCATTTAAAAGACGACCAACGTATTCCATAAACAGCCTTCGAGTTCATTGTTCGTTTCGAGTTTCATTTTACTTTTTCGAAGCGAAGCTTTATACGAGACCATACTGCGTCTTTCTTTATTTTCATCGAAAACAGACAAAGTGTTCTACAAGGTCTTAAACAATTTGGGACCAACAGACTCCGGAATCAAAAATAAATCTGTTCCCGGTATTCCCCGGCGATCGATTCTGCGCGTTAATAATGATATTCAGATTTACTCGTGTTCGACACAGACAGTTGTGACTTGTGCGCATGCCTAGCAAAATTTTGTCTACCTTGTCGTACGATTTAATTACAAGTAATCGTTCACATGTATACTATTTGATTTTCTTTATCACGTTTATCGTTTTAAAATTATTCACTGTTTAGAACGCTACTCTTCCAACTTGATGAAACAAAATTGTCTACACCGATATTAACGTAGTTTCTTAGATCTTTTAATACAGACTTTATATCGAAGATTTCTACTTATTATTAAAATTGTTAATCATACGGATTCTTCTGGATTCAAATACCATAAATGTTCACCAAACTTACGCAGACCTATTTTATTTACTTTTATTTAAAAAACGGTCGTGCATACTCTTAAAATATCGAAACACAATTATGTCCTGCATTAACCTGAAATTACTATAATTTACAAATTTTTTATCCGTTATCCGATCGCTATGATTTTTTTACCTAGTATTTACAGTTTAGTAAGGTAGCGTGAGAAAAAGTCAGAAGTTGAAAAATAAGGTGCACCCTAATATGCTAGTACTTCGAAGTAGCACTCGAAAGGTTTGTGTTCTTAATTCTCACGCCTTAAAAATACCATTGATCGGTGTTTTCTTTTGTTTCGATGATTGTTTTCCTACATACGTGTCTCATTGTTCGATCTACTTCCGATGCATAGAATCGTTACGTGATACATCGGCGACAAAACGTTATATAAAAGAAAACCGTACCGGTGTCGGCCTGTCGTTGGGCCATCTTTTGGGTGATGTTCACGGGACAACAAACGATTTCTATCAAGCCCTCGAATCCGCATCTCCCCGAGGATTCGGAATCCCTTCTGCCCTCGTGCGCCTCCAGCACTCTGGGCGGGCACTCGGGTAGCTTCCTGCACGTTCCTTGCTTACCATCCTCCAGCACACACTGGCTGCCTTCTGCAAGCCACAAACGTAAATAAAGAATCGAGGTTCCAACAAACTGCCTCTCAATATCTTTATTCTAATCCGTTGTGTTGACAGTTACGTTAAAAATTAAATTCAACATAAATCGTTAACAAATAATATTCACGAATTAACGAAGTAACGTTAGGTTTAGAATCTGCGTCAAACGTGTTCCGTAAACTTAGTGAGAAAAAGTAGTAAATAGGATTGCCAAGGTATTTCGAAAGAAACGTAGTTTCTCTTGTTAAAAGATGCTGTTTTAAAACGTGCAATCACAATGTTCATTAAATTGTATTAATTGTTGATCGTCGATTATTTTGCAAAATGACACTGTGTTGATACGAACGACCGTGCGTCGTCGAGCTTATCTAGACGAGCTCTTCGTTTCTTCCTTTCTCGGTCGATCGAATTCGAATTCGTCGTGAAGGAACAACGTGACGTCGAGCGAAAACGGCTCCGAACGAGAAATACAAGCGGTCGATCATAATTCCGGCCGGTCGCGGAATAACAGAGTTCGCCGAAAAAGGAGCAAGATCCGTCAGTGTTTGTTCAAGAGACGCGAGGATGACGGTACACGTTTGCCTCGTTGGTCGTAGCTGGTACCCGCGTACCAGCACGTAACCACACATGCACATATGTACCAGCAAGCTCGTCGACTGCGGCCCCGACCGTGAACTCGAAGGTACTGGTGCACAATTGGGAGAGGATGATCAGTAGAAAGTTGATGATGCACATCTCCGCGATAAGAACAGCGACGCGACGAGGGACCACGGGACACGGTGTCGATAAAGCAATCCGCGTGGCGTGCAGTTCAAGACTAAACTGATGATGGCGAGCAAATCGAAGTGACGCGATGAATCAGACCGAAGGGAAACCACTCGTAGAAAGATTCACGTTCGTCGGCTTCGAGCTTCCTGGTGAAATATACAGCGCCGGGCATACAGTCGCATCGGGAAGTAAGTTGACACACGTCTTCTATGAATAAGCGTCTTGCGATAGAAACGATATAAACACTATTCTTGGAAGGCCAACATCACTCTCCGTAACCATCTTATACTGTTAGTTTATTGCAAACTAGAGAAAGAAACGGTCGGTTTCAGTGACTTACGAGAGAATTCAATAATTATTAATTGGTATAATTTATTAGAAATATGAATGCACGAAGATTCTACGTTACTGTTTAAACATTTTTCCATTACAAGAGTAGAAAAATCATGTAATTTCAGACCAAGTATTTAAAATGCAAAAGTATGGGGAACTCATTCTTTTAGAGGGAATTCATATCCAATAGATGAATGGTGACTCTATACGGAAAATTGCTATCGATTATAATATTAGCATAGGAGGGCAATAATCCAACGCACGCGACGAGGGTTGCAAAGAATTTTCTTCGAGAAAATTGAATTGAATTGTTGCCTTGGCCAACCTAGAGACCAGATCTTAATCCCATAGAATATTTATAGGACCACTTGGATAGAAATGTTCAGAGAAATCTAAGAAACAGTAGAACCTTTAACAATGCATCGCAAGAAGCTTGGTTACAAATGAACAGCGATACCATTAATAATTTAATTAATTCCATTCCAAAAAGACTCCTGACTGTTGTTCGTAGCAAAGAATATCAAACATCCTACTAATTTAATTGTTATTTTATGGTTGTCAACTTTCTTTTCCATCATTAAAAATATAATTTTATTTTCTTGCATGTAAACATGACCTTTGTAAGTGTTTGTATGTATATGTCCGGAGTAACGTTGTGGATTTAAGAAAAAATTTTATATAACAACAAAGTTATAACTGAACTTACAGAAATAATGGAGACAATGAAAATTTAGTTATCGTGTGTTCGTAAGTATATGCCCGCGAGTGTACGTATTACGTATTACCATTCTTTGGTTGTTTCCTCGTGTTGGAAACCGGATTTAAAAAAAACAATCGTACGGATTTTCATTGCACCCGATGATTCTTTAAATCCTGGGACGACCGTAGAAAATTGTATAAAAATAGCATCCGGATGTAAAATATCCAACCGAGAACTTTTCGAAGCCGTGGCTGCTGAAAATAAACGATCTACCAGCGTTAATACCGGCGCATCTTTCAGTGTACAGTAAACGTCGAAACTGATATACACTTCCTCTCAAAAGTTTCAAACACCCGGTCAATCTTTGAAACAATGAATCGTTTACGATGCACACGCCAGCCATTTTGACTTGAAAATATTAACGCGACATTACCGAAGATGATCAGAGATGAATGTTGCAATTGTATTTGTAAATAATAAATTATAATCTCTGTCTGTAAATTTTTTTAAAGAAATGAAATATAGTATAGACATTCGTACACTATGGCCTTAATACTAACTTACTCGAAAGTTAAGCTACTTATCCCGTGGCAGACGACGTCCTATGCACGTCCTCGCGATGAATCCGATAGCAAGCTTCCACTCACAACTTAAATCTACTTTAGGACCACAGAAAAAAGCACAATTATATCAAATATTAAATAAAATATCAGATTGAAAATTTCCTGCCAATGTTATACATAATGAAAGTGTCACAAGAATCTCAGAAATAACGTGAAATTAGAAACCTTCGGAAGAGATCGAACGAAATAATGCATCTCTGCAAAAAGATATAAGAATTCACGAAATAGTGTGAAATAAGCGTTTACTTTTGTAATTTTAATGTTTATTATCTGTTCGTCTATTAATGTAATGTAATTGGAATTATTTGTTTCTGTACCACCTGTTTGCCAATTAAAATCTTTTAATTCGTTTCTTTACACTAATCACGGAAATAGCAACAATCCATCTAGTCCGTTAAATATAAATCTCTGCGATAGTAATACCATCGAAAATCATAATACGTTGTAACGAGTACAGTTTCGTTTAAAACATATCCCTTTGGAAATTGAAAACATAATTACAAACGCATCATGCATTATTCTTTAGTTATTTACTCCGGTGTTGCAAACCGGATTTGAAGAACGGTCGTCTTAGATTTGCATTTTATGAGATACCCGATGCTGCTATGAATACTGAAAAAATTGAAGAAATTTTACATCGAATATTACAGTATTTTGTATGCTGGAAGAGAAGTACGCATTAGACAGTGTAGTAGAATTATTATAGTTATTTGAATTATCACTAACTTTGTTAAAATTATTATATTACGTCACTCCGGAAAGAAAATGTATCATTTTCTTTTTTACAGTGTAAAACTGAGTAACGTGGAATATGTTTTAAATAGAAGGAATTAATTTGAAAAGTGTACTTCATTTCTTTATTAAAATATTCATAACTTACAAAGTAACGCAAATATCGACAGGCAATCTACAGAGTTTCATAAAGTTATTCTATGACGTGAATTTAATTACCTATTTGCAAGTTAAATGTATCAGAAATTTTTTTTTTAGTCACTAAAGAGGCAATTTAAATAATTATTTAAAGAAAAAAACACATTACCTAACGCGTAATTATGGAATATTTGAAAAAATTCTACCGTCCTGAATCCGTATCAGGATCGCGACCGACTTTTATTGGGACCACTGTGCTTGAGGTGAAATGTCACAGTGGACAGTAATCAATATTAATTCGATGGTGAATCGTACCATTAATTAGAATAGTCGACAGGCAGATAATCGTAGATCGCGTAGAGGTTGATCTTGAAGCAATCTGAGGTTCTTGCACAATGTCGAGTTAGTGAAAATTACATGTGTCTTATAATAGATATTGCGCGACCGTCTGGCGAAACATTGTTTTATAGATTTCTAATCGATCATTTCTAGCGATGGAAGTCCCGCGAGTTTACAGAACGAGAAACGTCTAAAAATAGTGGAGCAACATTCACAAGGTCACAGAATCCGTGTAGTATCCGAGAAGTTATTGATCAATGAACACGTTACTCGATTTCGGTTCAGGAACCTCTTGCTACTTGGATCACTTCGATTCGAGATCGACCGTGAAAAGATCAGAATTATTCCCTGCAATTCGAACATCGTTGCCCTCGATAACGTTTCATAAAACATATTTCATCGGCGTAGAAAGATGTAAATGTAAAAAAATGTAAAACTAACACGCAAAATGGTAAGTCAGGTCACAGTCGGATGACCGTGAACGATAAAGTATTTATTTTTGTAACAAAAGCCATGTGCACACGAAAATTGATTTTACAAACTTCACTCGCTACATTTTCTTTTGCTTGGTGCAATACCCATAACAGTTTCTTTAATCTTTAATCTAATTAGTCAGCGGTGCTCAGAGAAGTAGTGTTCCGTAGAATTCAGTATTTACACTTCTATCCGTCGTTTGGACGTTAGATTTCGCAACTGTTCTCTGTTAGTGGTACTATTCCTCTCGACTTAAATTGGCGAGGAGAATTTTCTGTTGATTTTAACTAGAATTCCGTTCGCGAGATTCCACGATAATTTATTCCAGGGTTTCCCATAAAAATAGAATATCAGGCTTGACGCCAGTAAGACATTGGCCCAAATACTTTCTTCAAAATGCATCCGAATAAAAATAACTAACTTTCCCCGGGATACGTTTGAAATCGTGATCTTCGAATATCAAACGTAATTCTACTGCAAAATTCTAATCGACTATAATAAGGCTATAGCTTATAAATTATATGGTCGTAACGTAGGTTTGTACAACGCATTACCATTTAAAATTGTAATTATAACATAGAAATGAATAAATAATCTGGACGTAATTAAATCTATTTCACGTGTATTGTACAATTCTAAAGTATTTAATATCTGAAAAAGAATACTCGTTAAGATAATACCATAATATTTAATGTCGTAACAGTTTTCAACGTGTTTCCCTCTAAACTAAAGGAGAAGAAAAATTCGTATAATTAAATGACGTCGAATCTTTTTTTTCTGTATTTAATTACAATGACTTGCTCAGACAATTACTATACTTAACGTCCTGCATTTTTAACTATCAGTAATTTGAAGAGCCGTTAATAATGCAAGAACGAACTTCTTATTCCTTCTTCGATCGATGATCTTCATAATATACTTCTGTTAAAATCGTAATTGGTTATTCCACTTTAAACCTTTTAAAAAATCGATTCCCTTTTTTATACTTTCTTGACGGTACACGTGCGATGTCTTGTATGCAAACTCTTTGTTTCTTTCATATTTTTTTAGTTCACGAAAGTGATAAATAAACTTCAAAGTATCACCATCTTTTCAATTATCGACTTTTTCTTTTCATTTTAGTATCTCCTATAGCGATGTAATTTGTTCACTTTTCATTTCGAATATGTGGAATAACTGAAACCATGAAAACCACAGGACCTTGTTTTTACTATGTTTTAGAACACGCAGAATGGCCAATTACGACTATTATACAATTAATAAAGGGTATAGCCGAATAAGGGGGTCAAATGTGCCCCCAAACCGAATGGAACGAGCCCGGGGTCATTCGATAGCAAAAAAAAAATAACCCATGTGTGCAAATTTTTAACTTGAAATCTCGACCGTGGGGGTAGTAATGGGGTGAAAACGAAAATCATGTTTTTGAATTATTTCTCTTGACCTATTAAGTAAAAAAATGTAAAAAAATTCAGAGACATTTCGGGTACCGGGGCACATACTTTGGGAGATTTTCAGATTTTTTGATTGAAGAACCAGGTAGTGAAAAATAAAAAACAGCAAAAAATGCCGAAAAATGCCGATTACGTATTGAAGGAGGCCCGGAACTACTTTTATACTTTTACAGTAAACAGGTATTACTATTACTATTACTCTCAATTTTTTTCAGATTTTTCATTTTGGTGCGCCGCAGTGAAAAAAAATAAAAACCGAGTTTTTCCTCGTTTTCTGCGTATTAGAGTAACTTACACGTTGAATTTTTATGCATCCTTCAATATATAAGTGTTTTGTAGACTGTTTAATGTTTCTACACTAAGCAGAATTACATAACAATTGAAACAAATAAAATAAAGCCAACCGTTAAGCGCAATATATCCTAGAAAATCAACGATATTTTCAACGGCGTCGATGGGGCAGTTGGTAGAGTGTCCGACTGCTGAACCGCTGCAAGTTTTTTTACCATAGGTTCGAGTCTCTCTTCTGGACTTAGGATTTTTTTTCCTTCATTATTTTTTTTTTTCAAATTCTAACTATATAACAATGCTTTATATTTATTTATAAATGTTCTGAAAGCATTTTACAAATATTTTAACCTGAAATATGTATAAATATAGTTTTGGAGTGTTTTTTTCGTTTTTATTTTTTTTGTCAACCACGATTATTGTTTAACATCTCTTACACTGAAATTAATGTGAAATGTTAGTTTTCAAATCTCTTACCTTTGACTACTGTGAATGGATCGGAGCAGAAGATTGTATATTGGCTTACTATTACTTCTTCTCGCCCTTCGATCAAGCAGATCTTTCGTTCTTTTTCTCTTTCTTTGATAAATATGAATGTTTGCTACGGCTTCAGCATCTAACGTAGACATGTAAGGGCCATTCCACGCCAAATCTATTAACCCACTCTCTGCCAATGATACTTTTTTCTAATAAACCCATTTTTAAGTACCAGTTTGATCGTTCATGCTTATTTTTGAATGAAGTATCATTGCTCGATGGAAACCACGGGGAAAAATGATTAATTGTCCTACCTGCGTTACGAAGGAAATAAAGGTTCGTTGGGTGTGGGCCCAGACCGTTCAGGTCAATGGGTGATTGTCGCGTTCGGGTTTCACAATGTATTTTTTAATTACTCAGTTCAAGCTACTGTATGCGATGGGATTTATACATAATTACTTGGCATGGTCCGTAGAGGTTGGTCCTACAAGTGTTTCCATTATCTTTAAAACCAGCAGTAAGGAAAGGATAATAACCCTTACATGTCTACGTTAGATACTAAAGCCGCAGCAAACATTCATATTTATCAAAGAAAGAGAACGAGAAGGAAAGATCTGCTTGATCGAAGGGCGAGAAGAAGTAATAGTAAGCCAATATACAATCTTCTGCTCCGATCCATTCACAGTAGTCAAAGGTAAGAGATTTGAAAACTAACATTTCACATTAATTTCAGTGTAAGAGATGTTAAACAATAATCGTGGTTGACAAAAAAAATAAAAACGAAAAAAACACTCCAAAACTATATTTATACATATTTCAGGTTAAAATATTTGTAAAATGCTTTCAGAACATTTATAAATAAATATAAAGCATTGTTATATAGTTAGAATTTGAAAAAAAAAAATAATGAAGGAAAAAAAATCCTAAGTCCAGAAGAGAGACTCGAACCTATGGTAAAAAAACTTGCAGCGGTTCAGCAGTCGGACACTCTACCAACTGCCCCATCGACGCCGTTGAAAATATCGTTGATTTTCTAGGATATATTGCGCTTAACGGTTGGCTTTATTTTATTTGTTTCAATTGTTATGTAATTCTGCTTAGTGTAGAAACATTAAACAGTCTACAAAACACTTATATATTGAAGGATGCATAAAAATTCAACGTGTAAGTTACTCTAATACGCAGAAAACGAGGAAAAACTCGGTTTTTATTTTTTTTCACTGCGGCGCACCAAAATGAAAAATCTGAAAAAAATTGAGAGTAATAGTAATAGTAATACCTGTTTACTGTAAAAGTATAAAAGTAGTTCCGGGCCTCCTTCAATACGTAATCGGCATTTTTCGGCATTTTTTGCTGTTTTTTATTTTTCACTACCTGGTTCTTCAATCAAAAAATCTGAAAATCTCCCAAAGTATGTGCCCCGGTACCCGAAATGTCTCTGAATTTTTTTACATTTTTTTACTTAATAGGTCAAGAGAAATAATTCAAAAACATGATTTTCGTTTTCACCCCATTACTACCCCCACGGTCGAGATTTCAAGTTAAAAATTTGCACACATGGGTTATTTTTTTTTGCTATCGAATGACCCCGGGCTCGTTCCATTCGGTTTGGGGGCACATTTGACCCCCTTATTCGGCTATACCCTTTCTATGTATTTCGTAAATATCAAGAATTCCGAAAAAAAGAAATTTTAGGTATAGCTCTTCAGATTTATTTCCGTCTGAATAAAAAAAAAACACCGCTAATTGGACCGTTTAACATTTTCCTCGTGTTGTCTCTATCCGCCGCGAAACCCGATACAAATGTCCGTGATTCCCCAAGAATTTCTAGCCTTGCATTTAATTATATCGATATTTCTATCGAGCACGTTTATTACACAAAAAGATTTCAGTCAAGATCAAAAGAGCAAGAATCGCAATGGGAGAGAAAAGCGTAGGTGGGGGGTGAGCGTGTGTACGCGAGAGAAAGAGAGAAAGAGAGAGGAACGGTCGAGAGGAGTATAGAAGAGATAGAGCGAGAAAGAATGCCGTTTTATACGCGTTCGCATTCAGTCTGCCTGTGGCGTTCGTGCCAGTCGTGTTCCATTGCTTCTTTCAGTTTTTTTTCTTCTATTTTCCTTTTCTAGTTTACACGGCCTCTTTGTCGTCGGGGAAACGAGCTAAAACAGAAAATACAAAACACGACAGTTGACTGATCGGCACCGCAGCTCTCGGATAGAGATAACGATGTGCTTTTTCCTCGTAGACTCGTGACCATCTTCGTAAACACCGTGATGCCGTAAGTAAGGAAATTTTATTACGAACGCGCCAGTGATTTCTTCCCCTTTTTGTGGAAATACAGTTAGATTTTAAACAAAACGCGGGAATCACGCCGCGTCTGCGTCAGAAGGCCGTAATCTGGCGTGAGTGAAAGTATCGCGGGCAAGTTCGTCGTCGATCGTTCTACCGACGCACGATCGACTTTGTTGTATTCGATCACGTCTGTCGATATACCCGTAGCCTTGCTTATTAACATTACCATAAAATACCATCGAATCTGTGTACCGCTGTGGACGTATTTACCTGTGATGCTACATATGCGACTGATTTTTACGCGAGCGAAATCTTAGAAAAATTTAATATCGTTACATGTAATTGGATTTGTTCCACGTCTTAATATCACGGTCACCTATACAGCTGAACCAGCGTTTCCCAACGTGAGGGAACAATTTTGAATATTTTCGGGCCTCTTAGATAATTATGTAGGGTTATGTTCTCATCCTGTTGATATCCTCTCGATTTTTAGTTCCATGCTGCCGTACACTTTACTACATTAATATCAGAGACCATAATTCTTGTAACCAGACTATTCAAAATCAAAAACTATTTTCGTCGCCTGTAATCGCTTATAATCATTAATTAGCAATGTCAACGCATAAAAATAATTTTTCTTAATCGTGTGCATATTTTGTGAATTTAACGACAACTTTATGCGACTAAAAGTCTTTTTACCGATGATTTTTCTGTATCAAATTTTTGACGTAACTATTCAGTCTCTAGTTGACATCGTGTAATTCGTATTAGTCATTAAAGTAAGGTTAGAAACTGCATGAAAAATTTGCACGCCGCTTATACAACGCATACTTTGTAAAAATTCCGTCGTATGTAAAATATTGGCGCAGGTCAAAGATCTGTGTCGATCGAGTATACCACGTTTTATCGTTATCGATAAATACCGTTTACAAATTGGCAGCTTTCGAGCATCGGTGGGTTCCGTTGTCCGTGAGAACAGTTTACGTTCGAAACTGTAATCAATTAAAATTTTCTGATCCGCGAACAGATTGACGACGATACGTCTTAATGAACATTGCGTCGCTTAAGAACACATGCGAACTGTTTAATGCGACTGTTAACGTTTAGGATTCGTGGCAAGGACAAGCCAATTTATTGCTTCAATGATATGATCACCGTGCTAAATTGGGTATATTGGCAGTTCTAATTAACCGCTGGTGTAATGTATGCGGATTGTTTATCACGACATGGAAATACGCGAGACAAAACGCGTCCAATCGGTTAATTAAAACGTTCTGGTTCATTTGACGCCGGGTCGTTTCGCTATGCCCTCCGTATTCGAGCCATCCGATCGTCAATATTCTCGTGTTACGTAATAATCTTTTTAACGCTGACACGAGTGTGTTAAACATTGTGGGTGATTCGTGAATTTACATATGCTGGAAGCGAATTCACACGATTTGAAACATGAACCTACTATAGTACCAGGTTAGGTACATAATGTTTGTCGTTGAACTTATTAACAGAGTAGAAAATGTCTTGATGCATATTGCTAATTTGTAATTTGCTTAGATAAAAGTTGACTAAATATTCAAGCCAAGTATCGCGGTAAAATAACAGGTTATTTCGTAAGGTTATGCGTGTTTCCTTTTCCGTGCTTCTTATGCAATATAAACTAACATGAACATCGTTATACTCGTTCAAGCCGCGAAACGTCCAACAGCCATTATATTAGAGCATCTAAAAAATATTACGTATTTCGAAACATCAATTTATCAAGTTGTAACCATGACAAAACATAATTTTAAACACGGTGATTTTTCTGTCATCGTTCTGAAAGTAATTGTAAATCCTCTCCAACGCCATGTTGATTCTTCGTATGGAAACAAAATACGTATACATATAAACTATCGTTGAATTATCTCCTGCCCAAGAAGTACGACGTTGCTCTGAATCGTACACTATGTGCATTGTAATTTTATCAGAATTTTGTTTCGAAAAATTGTGCACAAATACTATTAGGGTTTTTTGATACTAGATATACAGGGTGTTCGGCCACACCGGAGAAATATTTTAATGAAAGATTCTGAAGACAAAAATAAGACGAAAATCAAGAATATCAATTTGTTGATGGAGTCTTCGTTAAGAAGTTATTAACGTTTAAAGTTCCGCCAGTACTGAATTTTTTTCTCGAAAGTGGGTAGGAATTCGGGGGTAGGTCTATCCACTAAAAATGATTGTAATCGACCCCAGCAACCAAAAATAATTTTTTTAGAATGATTTGAAATTTTTCAGTTTCACGGAAACAGTCCACCTTCTTGAATTTTTTTCTAGGAAATGGGTAGGATTTTAGGGGTATGTTCACTCACCAAAAATGATTATAATTGACCCCAGCAACCAAAAATAATTTTTTTAGAACGATTCGGAATTTTTTAATTTTGTCGAAAAATTTCACACCTTCTCGAATTTTTTTATAGAAAATGGGTAGGATTTCGTGGATATGTGTATTGATCAAAAACGATTGTAATTGACCCCCGCGACCAAAAATAATTTTTTTAGAACGATTCGGAATTTTTTAATTTTGTCGAAAAATTTCACACCTTCTCGAATTTTTTTCTAGAAAATGGGTAGGATTTCGGGGGTATGTGTATTGACCAAAAATGATTGTAATTGACCCCCGGAACCTAAATAATTTTTTTAGAACGATTCGAAGTAATTTTTATTTGCCGCGTGCTGTAGAGCGCCTTAAATTCAACACGCCTCGCTAGAATGGCTCCAGCGTCGTCATTTTGCACTATTTTTGAATAAATAGTTTTTTAAACACTTAATGACATGGTAAACAACATTCTTGAATATTGTTATCCTCTTACTTTTCCATCCATTCAACAAAAAATCGCAAAAAAACGCTTTATTTCCTAATTAACAATGTCAAAGACGCCTTCTAATGCATACTAACATTACAGTTTGGATAGGTAAATGTTGATCGAACGGAACGAACGAGATATTACCAATAACCATTACGAGTCGTCAAATGGATGAGCCCACGACAGTGTCCCAGGAAGCATATGCTCGAGCGATTCAATCGTCGGAACCAGACTCCGACAAACAAAGAACCACATGCTCAAAAGCGGGCAACTGCACGGGAACCGACGATGGCAATTTGCTGAAAGTTCCTCAACGTAAACTGTCCGTATTTTATCGATCGTTCGACGTGATCGCGTCGAAGAATCAAGGAGAGGCGTACGAATTTCGACGAACCTCCAGCAGTCCGTCCGTTCGTCTCGAAAGGACGCAGGATACGGAATGGAAGAGTAACGACGCTTACGAGGAAACGAGCTCGTGCAAGAAAGGGTTCGTGAACAATTGTCGTTCGTTGATCGAGAGCGGCAAGTTTCTAAGCGGTTCGTCCCTCGATCGTATCACGGAAAGGACGAACAGCAACCCTCAATTCTCCGCGACGAAGTCCGTGCCGCTTTCGGCGTTCAAGCTGCCGCGAGTTAGGGAGAACACGTTCGTCGATCACAATGCTGCGACAACCGACGCGTCGTCGATCGAAAAGCACTTCGAATCGAACGTCAATGGGAACGACGGTCGTAAAGTAAGCTGGGGAAACATTCAGCGTCCAAACGGAGAGAATTAACTCTTAACGGCCACCGGCGCTGTTCTCTCGGAAGAGTATTTAAAGTCCGTGATTTATTTTCACGGTAAACGAAATCTTTGACGACGACGGTAAATGCAATTATTCTCCCTGGAACGTCGCTGTCGATTGCTTTGAAAATATTTTTCGTTGCGGAACCGCTTTAGACCGGTGAAAGTCGCGAAAATTTAGACGCGAAAAAGTACAATTTTTGACCATCTTTCGTAATAAATATATTTCGTCTTTTTTTCTTTTTAAATTATTAAGCAAAATTAATGTTAACCGCGTTAGTAATCGTTTAGAGAACTTGTTTTTATGCATTTTTAAGGCGAAATATAATTTTTCGCGTCTAAATCGCCGTTTTCGAACACTATGGCACTATGGAACAACAGTGAACATTTTAGTTATTGACGCAAGGGTTTGAACGATTTCAATCGATGGAATCTATGGGCGTTCTAAAGTTAGAGTCAAACGCCGGACCGTTGAGAGTTAAAAATAAATTTTCTCGCCCGTAATTATGCTTGTTTTGCGATCAGGATGCCAATGAAAATGTCGGCGCCGTTTCGCGCGAGAACTCGTCCCCCGGATCCGACGATTTCTTCTTCGTCGTCGACGCCGAATCGCCTACCGACGAAAAATACGAAAATGGTAGGAGAGACTCCTCCGTCGACACGACGAGCGATTTCGTGTCCAAACACGATCCACGATCGACGGCATCGGGGACTCGATGCAACGGTAAATTCGCGGCGAACCTCCGATTCGGGAAACTAAAAATACAATAAATGTATATTGTTGAAGGTCCGATCCTCTCGTTCGCAGACCTGGCTAAGATCAAAGATTCGACGTCGCCCCGCGCGTTTTCGGACGCCTCGAGTGCCGTACGTCTTGGAGAATATACATCAGTCCGTCCCGAAATGTCGAATCACCCGGATAGCTCGATCGGTTCCGATAACGAGGACGACTCGATCGGGGAAAACGTGGACGCAACCTGTGCGTCGGTTGCTGTGACGAAAAACGAGACAGCAGAGAGTGGTAACGTTCCCTCGCAACCCTCGTCGTCTTTTTCGCTCGGTGAAGTCCCGAGGAAACCAGATTCGACCGGGATCGACAACAAAAAGAGAACGAAAGACCTTGCGGGATTTCGATCGACGCAAGCGAAGCGACAAGTTGGTAATCCTTTTGTTATTACTTACCACTTACTCTTGATAAATAATAAGAAAATTAACGCTATTTCTACCAAAGGTGTCGCGAGTTACCTTTATACGATATTAAAAGTAACATAATTCGCGTTAACAATTATTTCCAATTATTTGGATTCGAACGCAAAGGTGTCAAAATTGGTCGAGTATGCATAGAACCACGATAGAAATAGTGTTGATAGAGAAAGATACGGACGTATTCGAAATCTTCTTCTTTTTTGAGTACTATTACAGGGTACGATTATTAAGTTGCGTAATAAGTCCATTCGCGTTTCTTTTTGAGTACCGTTTAATGTTATGTGATATACATATGTGCCATTTTGTTCTTTAGAATAAAACTCGTCGCTTCATTTATTTAAAAATTCAGATACATGTATATTTACGTGTTCGGGTGTCCAAAATAAGTAAATATCAGATGAGATATAGTAAAAATTGCCAATAATTGTTTGCCCTGTCGTTAAACATTTTACCGTGGTGATAAACAACTCCTTTTCTAATTATGAGCGATGGCTTGTACAGTTGTTTTCAATTTATCTAGTTGTGAACAGTGTCTGTCGCTATTAATCGTCCGACTATGCAATAAAAATTTATAATAAATTATTAACGGCCATTGACGCGAACGGACTTATTACACAACCTAACAGCCGATCACACGACACGGTTTTTTTTACCGATTTAGTGAAATGACGGAATAAATAATAGCTGAAAGCAACGTTTACACCTTTCTGTGTTTTCGTCATACGTTTAGTTTTAAAACATATTAATTAATCGATTCACTGTGATATACAGGGTGTTCGGGCATCACTGGGAAAAATTTTAATTGCCTTTCTGATAACAGCGATAGAACTTTGAAAGTTGTTTTATTTTATTATACGTGAAATGGAATATCATTTAAATGACCACCACGATTGCGTTTAATGAAGTGAACACGATAACCTTAATTTTCGATGACTCTGACACATGAACCAAATTGTATCTCAATAACACGAACGAAGTGCGAGATCGCCTACAGTTTGCGGTTTGTTAGCGTAAACAATAGGCTTAACATGATCCCGCAAGAAAAAGTCTAATGGTGTCGTGTCACAAGATCTTGGTGGTCGGTTGATAGCATACTTTTATCATTGAACTTCGATCTCAATAAAGCGATAATTTCGGCGGAAGCGTGGTACATGGCACCATCACGTTGAGACCATGTCTCAGTCAAGTCAAATCCAAGCAATTCACACCAAAGAATAGATGAAATCATCAGTCGCGATCACACGTTCTTCGTTTCGAAAAAAAATAAGGGCTAATTACTTTACCAGCCAAAACACTCACGCTATACAACAACTTTTTGCAAGTACAAAGGTCGCTTAACATCTTGATTGATTAACATCTTCCCAAATTCAACAATTTTGCTTATTGACAGTGCCGTCTATTAAAATGTAAGCCTTTGTTTGTTTGGCAAAGTCGGGATCAGAGCTCAATCGATAAATTCACAACGCGTGCAACGATCAGCTGACTTCGATTCTGAAGTCAACTAGAACTTGTAAGGATGAAGACCTAGACCAAAATTCGCCATTCTAAAGTCTGAGGAATGCTTGATTCTTGAGAACTAATTAAGGATAAATTTCGATTCACAGTAATATTTTCAGTGTACAGGGTATTCGGCTACACCTGGGAAAAATTTTAATGAAAGATTCTGGAGGCAAAAATAAGACGAAAATCAAGAATATCAATTCGTTGATGGAGTCTTCCTTAAGAAGTTATTAACGTTTAAAGTTCCGCCTGTATTGAATTTTTTTCTCGAAAGTGGGTAGGAATTCGGGGGTAGGTCTATTCACCAAAAATGATCGTAATCGACCCCTGCGACCAAAAATAATTTTTTTAAAACGATACGGAATTTTTTAATTTCGCCCAAAAACAGCACCTACTCGAATTTTTTTCTCGAAAGTGCGTAGGATTCTGGGGGTATGTTTATTGATAAAAAATGATTATAATCAACCCCTGCAACTAAAAATAATTTTTTTAGAATGATTTGAAATTTTTCAGTTTCGTGGAAAAGGTCCACCTTCTTGAATTTTTTTCTAGGAAATGGGTAGGATTTTAGGGGTACGTCCATTCGCCAAAAATGATTGTATTTGACCCCTGCGTCCGAAAATAATTTTTTTGGAACGATTTGAAACACATGACATTTCAGGGGAACCATTCATTCGTGATCAGACATTGTTTTCGGTAACGAATTTTTTTCTCGAAACTGGGTAGGATTTCGGGGGTATGTGTATTCGCCAAAAATGATTGTAAACGACCCCCGCAGCCAAAAATAATTTTTTTAGAACGATTCGGAATTTTTTAATTTTGTCGAAAAATTTCACACATTCTCGAATTTTTTTCTAGAAAATGGGTAGGATTTCTGGGGTATGTGTATCGACCAAAAACGATTATAATTTACCCCCGCAACTAAAAATAATTTTTTTAGAACGATTCGGAATTTTGTAATTTTGTCGAAAAATTTCACCTTCTCGAATTTTTTTCTAGAAAATGGGTAGGATTTCGGGGGTATGTGTATTCGCCAAAAATGATTGTAATCGTCCCCCATGACCAGAAATAATTTTTTTAGAACGATTCGGAATTTTTTAATTTTGTCGAAAAATTTCACACCTTCTCGAATTTTTTTCTAGAAAATGGGTAGGATTTCCGGGGTATGTGTATCGACCAAAAATGATTGTAATAGTCTCCCATGACCAGAAATAATTTTTTCAGAATGATTTGAAATTTTTTAATAACTTTTCAACGAAGCCTGAGTCAAGATATCGATCTTGATTTTCGTCTTATCTTGGCCTCTAGAATCTCCCATCGAAATTTTTCCCAGAATTGATCGAACACCCTGTACAGGTAACTTTCTCTACCTCGACTTCGTGAATCGCGAAGCCCAAACATTTTTCTTATTCGATCTCTCTCCAAGAAAAAGTTTCCCGAGCCCTGATGTGCTCTGTCAAAGGGGAAAAAAGGAAATGGTAAACCCCAATCGTATTTGCAAATCGCGCCTCAGCCACCGCCAGATATTCTAAATATTATATGTATGTACCTTAAATCGTTCCGCGCCACATGGTAGCACTGCATCTGGCGATCTATTCCGCTCAATAGGAAAAACAATATTTGCTCTGGAAGCCGAACAAACCACGGCGGTATATATTACTGGGAAATTTGAAAACAAGCTGCATCCGTCGAGAGTCTTTTTCAGTTACGATTCGCGTAATGAAACATTTATAGGTCAACAGGGCTGAAATACCGTGCATTCGACGAACCGTGGATATTCTTTGAAATTTGTCGCGGCCAGTTCGAAGTAATAACGGTATCGTTGCATACAGAATTTCACCGCCGCGAGAAGATCCTTGTCCGAAAGCGACAGCGAGCAATACCAGAGCGCGAAACGCTATTGCGGGTGCGGTAAACAGGCGTCGTCCAACGATTGGGAACAGGTGCGAGCTTTTCCTAGTTTCACCGACGCCCGACTACGAAGCATGAAGTTATTAAATTCCGAAGAAATGAACTCTTTGTACAGGTAACCGATCAAATAACCAATCTCGTTTTATGCGTGCAAAATACACTATAAAATGAAACGAAAAATTAGTAGAGGAAATGGTAGAAATATGAGACTCCCTTTTTAGAATAAAAAAATTTTGACGAATAAATTTAGAGAATTTCTGAGAATTATTAGAGTATAAATATCGTGGACCTTGCAAAACCTATGAATATTTCACTTTTGTCTAAATTGATTTTTGTCAGTTTATAGAATTAGATAATTTATATATTTATTTTAAATTTTCGTACATGGAAAGTAGTTCTTCCTCGTGTATCGATATGTATTGGTAGTAATATAAAATGTTGCCCGGTTATTTCACATCGTCGTGTTCCGAACGATTCGAATTGTGCTGATCGATGTGCTTGTTGGTTTCAGAGAAAACTTCGCGTTGTCAGAAAACGAGCTCGAGGTATGCAAATTACTGAAATCCTACAGAGTGGGCTGTGCACGTTTTTAAAAATTATTATCTCAATACTTCTCTTAACACATTACCGACCGATAGCCTATTAATCGACTTTTTTACCGGCCAACACTTACCGACCGATAGCGTATTAATCAACTTTTTTACCGACCAACGCTTACCGACCGATAGCCGATTAATCAACCGCTACCGGTCGGTAAAGTGTTAAAATACTTCACATAGCATTTAACATGTTAAATATCAAACTCTCCTAGCGAATATTATACGCCCCTACAAGCCTAGAGCATTTTTATTAAATATATTATACAAGGTGTTCGGCCATCCCTGGGGAAAAATTTTAATGAAAGATTCTGGCGATTTCTTTGCACAATCCACTCTGTAAAACTCTATATTTGAATGAAATGTATTGTTAGCGAATGATAATGGTTTTTGATTGCAGCGCAAGTACATTGCATTCTCGATAGGGCTCAGTATAGACAGGATCACTTTGCATCGAAGATTAACATTGTCGCGACGACAACGGGATTTGTCGGAACGTAACTTTACAAACGAGATCCAAGGGATGCAGGAAGATATACAGGCAAGCGTGTTGCACGTTTGATTATAGTTCGAACGCGATAACAATCACGATGATTATCATTTTCTTACGCTGTTTTAAACAATTGTATTACACAAAGAAAGATAAAATATTAAAAGGAATCGAAATCGGTACGATTTTAATTCTGGGTACGCAACATCGTTTTCCAGACCACTTGTGCGTTCGTACTATAAAATGTCCGTATAGGGTTGAAATTAGTTCATCAAATAGTAGTTATATCACAATATCATCGAAACAAATACCAGTATAATATCATAAGCTCTCTGTTTTCAATAACGCTAGGAACTGTCGCCGCTGTGTACGGATAGAGAATCAATGGAGAAAGTAGAAAAGGTCCGTTGCCGGCTGGACACTATAAAGAAATGCGCCTACAGGAACTGTTATGCTTCTGAAACTCTTGGCGCAGTGCAACAAGAGCAGAGGATCTGTGGAGGAGTTTCCATAGCCGACAAGTATCTTCGGATACTGCGTTCCAAGTGCGAAAATTTGGCCACAGAGATCGCTGAGATCAAGTAAGAATTTAAATACCATAACCGAACAATAGCACTGAATGATGATAATGAAAGAAATCAGAATATCTTGTCTCGTTTGATCAAAACTGCGCTGATGAAAATATAGAATCGTATTCTTTCAGACGGATTTTATTGATGCACAATATCGTGATCGAAGAAGGCACAGGAGAGATAGGCGACGATGTATCGAAATTACGATACTCCAATAATCGAACAATGGTTAAGAAATCAAGATTTTCCTTTCGATAGATTATTCAGATCGAGGCACTTAGAAATATACACTTCGCGGTCTTATACAATTTTATAGAATTTTTAATCAATTTTCTCTGCAGGTGTCGAGAAGAAGAGCCAGCATCGCAACGATTTCAGGACCTACATTTTCCCAAGATCCGATAAAAGTAACTGATCAGATTGTATATTTAGTTGATTTTTTTCGATGTAGATTCACGTGCATAGATCACTACTATTGATTGATAATTTTGTTCACATTTACGTTATTCACTTTTATCTGTATTTAGGAGGGCCCCAGGCAACGTAATTCCGTCTCAGGCAGAGTTACTCTATTGACACAAAGGAGACCATCGCTGTGCTCCGAAGTGCAAAGATGGGAAAACGATAAATTAAACCGAACGGAGTTCGTATTATTAAACACATATTCTTTTTTTATATCAGTAAACGAATAACAAAAATATCAGGATATGTAAAAGAAAAGAGACACCCGGTATATTAAAAATATATTTCATATTACAAAGAGAATGTACAAACAGACTTTGACTTATTTCAGCAGCTCTAATAGCGTCACCGAGTTACGTGACATTTCTGAACAAACCGAGTCGAGAAGAAACTCTCTGGAAGAGAACAATAATCTTCCAAGATGCGATCGGATCGGTAACACCGAGACTGTGAATTGTGACGTTAACAGTAACGTAGAAAATGAAAATCAACCATCGTCGTCATCGTCGTCGTCATCTTCCTTAGAGCTCAACATGACGAAAAATGTTGAGAAACAATTCAAAACATGGTAATTGCTCGATTAAATTATGATAGAAATAAAAAGAATTTAATGTTTTCTGAATTTTTTTTTTGTTTTAGTATACAAAAGGCCGAACCTTTGCGAATAACGTCACATTTTCATACATGGCGGCCGATACTGTGGTGCTCGTTGGTCTTTTTTCTTGGATTTTATGCAAATTACATAACTTCATCGGCGAACACGTGCGAACACATTGCTACCCTAACGAGTTAAACAAATTTCAATTGTAAGATCTAGAAAGTTAATTTTGTCTGACGGGGTGATACAGTATTAAAAGTTTACTTTCAGTGTAAAAGTATTTATAGGGCAAAAATAATGAAAGACCGCACTTACAAATATATTGGATTTAATTTTCTTTAATTTAATATGTTACAAATTGTCCACCGTTCCAATACACACGAGCGAATTATTTTTACTGTAATAACGTAAGGAAAGTATACTCGAGCAATAAGTAGAGTATATTTGTGGTGATTCCATTTCAGGTACTACATTTGATGAATTGCTAAAAAAAGTATTTGATATATAGCGTTGCGATATAAAAAGTAAGTTTCTTTTAATTTATTAAAGTGGGAATTACCTATTGGCAGTTTTAATGTGATCGTAAGTAGGCCATAAACGAATAGTGCCGTCCAGACTGGCACTAGCTATGTATTGACCATCAAAACTCCAATCTAAATTCATAACCGTGTCTTCATGGCCTTTAAGTTCAGTTAACAATGCATTAGTCGCTAAATCCCAAACAGAGATAGACTTGTCATCGCCTAAGGAAATAACGTATTGATCGAAATACTTTTAAATTCGAAATATTTGACAAAATGTTAAAATAAATTGTCTTACCAGCGGCTGCCAGATACTTTCCATCGGGACTAAAGGCTAAACTATAAATTGTTGACTGTGCTCCAATATATACCCTTAATAAATTTCCGTCGTCTTTATCCCATAACCTGACAGTCTTATCGGCGGACCCGGTTGCTAAATACCGAGCATTCGGATGAAATTTTACGCACTAGAAGAAAACACAATATAAACATTAACAAAGATAGAGAAATACGACGAAGAAGAAATATTAACTGGTAGAGTAGTTCCCCCGCATTCAAGAAACAAAACATTTTTTTAATTTTTGGTTAAAATACGTACATTTATATCTAAAAAGTGACCAGCAAATATGCGCAATGGAAATATTCTATCTAACGACCATAATTTAGCAGTTCTATCGTGAGAACCGGTTGCCACATACAAATTGAACACGCTAAGATCCATGCACCATATAGGATAACTATGGCCGCTGTAACAAATTACTTTTTAATATCGTATCGTATAACAATTTATCCGAAAATAATGATAAACACGAATATACCTATAAATTGCAGCACATGAGTAATCATTAAGTCTCCATGCCCTCATGTCTTTATCACTAGATACAGAAAGTAAAATTTCTGATTCTGGAATAAACCTTAAATCATGTACAATGTCCGTATGTCCTCTAAGTATCACTGCCCCTCCTTCGGTCCTTAAAATAAATTATGCGAACGTACAGTTTTATGTTCTTTTACTTAAACGATGTATTAATTGTATATTTAGTTAAACAACATATTACTTTATACGTTTGAACAAATCTTACGTTCTGTCTGCAGTTTCAGAAAATTTGTGTAAAAATGGAGTATCAGAAGCAAACGAGAAGGAGGGTTCCTCATACTTTGGCTTAATTAATACTGTTTCATTTATACCCCACAGCCTAATTTCTGTAGTACTAAATCCTACTGCTAATTTATCCATATTTGGTGGAATCACACCGCTACTCGCGCTGAAAATATAAATTTTATACAGCTCTCACCATTTCTTCATTATGCTACACATAAAATTTAATTTACATAAGTTATTATAAAAATGTTTACTGCAAATGAAATCTAAATGTGTATTTATATATTATTACTTTTCAATAGCATTATTCACTGTGAATATTCGCAAAGGTTGATGTGCATTATTTCGTATTAATCTTATAGCTTCTTGCAACTCTCGCATTTCACGATCTGCTCCAGTTCCCGATGGCTGCTCTACATATCCATTAATACCTACTTCACATCGTGAACCTGTTTCTTCGCATCCTTCTATATCTGTTTCAGGCACATCCATTTTTTTAATTATTGTCACATGTGTATTTATTATCTAATTGATGAAATTAAAAAATTATGTATTATTAATATTAATTATGATGTTCATTTGTACACATAATACATACACATATGTGTAAAGAATTATATAGCGTAATAGTATAAAAAATATCATTACCTGCATTAGTATAATGTGTCCATGCTTTGCAAGAAATTGTTGAAGACATAAGTGAGCAATATCAGACATATCCACTTTATACTTTCTAGTTCTAAAGGAATTTACCAAAGGTCTCAACTCAATATCCTGTACTGAAAATACACTGGACAGCTCTTCTAAAAAGTCTTTTTCTGTTTCGCTGTTAAACTCATTTTGATGTAATTTTAAAAACTGAATTGCTGCTTGCCTGTTACCAGCGTGTAGCATCTCTAAATATAAGTGACAAAATACAGGGTATAAAAGCCCTTTTAATTCCATTTTCAACTTATCATTGAGTGCAATATTTACCCACATCTTTAATCTGGTAGAAATAATATGTACACAGCGTTAAAAATTACACGAATCTGATTATAAGTAGTTTGTCGCATTAAAGTAACATTAATAACGTTTTAGGAGACATGGAGATATACCGTTGATACGCTTGGTCTGCAGCAGCAACATCAATGCTAATGGCACTGAAAATGATGGAGTTATCTTGAGATGTTGCAGAAACAGCAGTTGCATTCAGTGTCATTTCATCACTGGTTCGACAATGTACTTGATTACCCTTGCAGAAAACCTCGTTAGTCTACAATCAATGTTTGAAACAAAAGGTTATGTTATGTTTACCAATTATATTTCAACTTTAAATAAATTTTTTAAATAAAAGCGAGAACGCAACCTGCCTGATAATGACGCCGTTTCAAATACGATTCAATTGTTGCATTAATTAATTCACTCTTTAATCGTTTCATTTTTTTGGAATTGCACGTTGGTTACATTCAAAAATTTTGACAGGCTCAATCATAAGAAAGGTGCCGAGTAACGGAATTCATTAAAAGTACAATGTTTTTATAATCATTTAAAGCATGAGTAAAATACAAACATTATTGATATATTCAACAGAAATTAATGAAAAGAACGAATTTGAATGTCCGCCTGTATGATATACATATATTTTCATTAATGAAGCAGTTGAGATGAATGAAACTTCAACCGGCACTACTGATACTATTCGGCATACTGTTCATATCACATTTTTTTTAAGCATTCGTATTTTATGTAGTTCTGCTTGACGCATATAAATTCACGATGAAATAGCGCGGTCCTTCAAATATCCTAAAAATACGAAAGCAAAAATATTCATCTATTTCCTAAAAAAGTATCCGTTATTCCTGAGTTACTAGACACGTTGTGCTTCAAATACACAAAGGTCTATTAATACGTTGATGCGTGATGCGTTTGAGATGATTTAAGGGGAATACGACACGAAAAACCCAACTCCCTCTCCTCCGTAACATGTTTGTTTATTTATTAAAAATTCAAGCTCTAGTCGCGAATCTATTGCCATAGATACATAATACATGTATAAAATACAATAATATACAAAAACGGATTTAAAATATGCTGTGTACTGCGTCACTTAACCTATGGTAAACACGTCCACTGATATTCACGTGTGGACCATTTTACACGTCGCCGTTGAAAGAAATCAACAGTCACGCATTCCCGCTTCTGTTAATCATTTTGCTCATTAAATATAAAACGATACATTTTCGCGGGAGTCGGTCGTTCGTTGTTCGTATTGGGCGCGCAACGCATAGCGTTGTAATACCATGGTAACGAAACAAAGAAGAGCAGGCGCGATACTATTTTTCATTCTACATTGTCTATCAATTTTATCAATTTGTTCACATTTATTTAAGATAAGAATTTAAATTTATATGCAATTTTATATAAATATATATATGTATGTATATAAATTTGAATTATTATGTTAGATAAATTTTGGTACTAAAATGTTACCAAAAAATCAAACCTATTGCGATATGATGGTACTAGTGTCTCAACCAATGAGAGTTGTAAGTGTCCACGTGCTCTTTCTAATGCGCATGCTCAGCGTCGTTGCCATAGTATACAATAGAAACCTAGATTAAAATAGATAATAAAAGAGATTATACTTAGTGTTTGATTTATTAACGACGCTAATTATACGTAAAGAATACACGTTGGTCGAAAAGTTTTGCCTACCCTGTACGTCTGTGGAGTACTAATGTCGGCAACATTGGTTCTAAGGGGTACGAAATTGGTATATCGAACATCAAAGGTTCCGTCAGAAGTGTCGCCTCTGTATGTAACTCTGTGCTAGCGTTGCAATGTAACTGTCATTATTCCTTATCTAAGGTTTCACTGATTTATGGTAGGTTCTTCAAAGATGTTGTTCAGTGTTAAACGAACTTTGTTGTAATTAACTTTGAAAAGGAATCGAATTCGTCCAACACGTTTGAAACAAAGATAAAAAGGCAATTATGGAAGGTACGACGGTGAACAATTTTTTAAATACCTTTTATATTAATTCTAATTGTCAATTCGTGGTGAAAATATTTCAAGTTAAAACATTTAACGACGTTACGAGATTTGAACGAACTGTTTGCATGAAACAGAAACGATTCACAAATGTAATCGAAACGATATTAATTTCTTGTTTTAGGTGAATTAGAACATAACATTGCTAAGTTAGTCGATGACTTAAGGTTTGTTATAAAATCAGAGAAAGAGAACGAAGATATCGTCCAAATTTTAGACTCCATTGCCAATGATAGCAAAACTTCTGTTGGAGGTATTCATCAATTTTCAACGTTTAGTTATATATTTCTTTTTCCAACACCTTTCTATGTAATTTCATTGTGACGGACAAAACAAATGATAATTAATATGCATTTCATTATTTGCGGATTTTTGTTTAAACTTGCCGAAAAGGTGCGACAAAAAAGTAAGGTTAAGTATATTTTGACAGGTTCACAGGTAAAAACAAGCGACTGTCGTTACTGTGTTCACGTTGTAAATTATAAATGCCAGGAAGTCAACCTTCAGTTTTTACTGCAACTTTACGACAAGTTTAAACAAAAATAACGAATTTCCGCAAACAATGAAACGCACATTAATAATGTACCGAATTAGACTTTATTAGTTTGCTAGGAATGTTCCTTTGCCCATTGTTAAAATCTACAAATTTCATTATAATCATACATTTATTTTATTACCAATATGAAGTGTTTAACCCTTTGCGGACTACCGCCGCATATATGTGTTTTGCATAAACCATCGATCTGGTCAATGAACTCGTACACGCGTTCAACAAAAATAACTGATAAAGATGAAAGACTCATATACATAAGTATGTGTCTCACATAAATAAATCGCTGTAGCCGATGAACCTGTATATTCATTCCGTGAAAACAATTGATAACATCGGTCAATTTATTTGGAAAGACATTTCATTGTCTGAAATGTAGATTTATTTTTTGACTACGTTTATCGTACAGAAGAAAAATCTCTCTTTAAAACAATATTGGTCAACAAATAAAAAAGTCAAGCGGCTTCGAACATCGAGCGTGTCGAGCGTAACTTGACGCCGGTCGTTATCGATACATTGTATACATATAAATGGCCAGCTATTTTATCCCGCTCGGCACTTATCCTTTTTCCTTATCTCCGTTGAATTCTGAGAAGTAAACATGCCCACTTAATTGACCGCGGCCGGATACTTAAATGCACTATCGTATTCGGTAATCTTTCTAAAGTCTAATAACTTGTTAATGAAATTACAACCGGTAATCGATGTACAGAATTTACTAATATTTCGTTGACGATGGGATGGTTCAAGAAAAAAAAGAGGCGCGTCTTGCCCGCAAAGGGTTAATTTGAAGTTTGAAAAATATACCAAAATACTTATGTTATTGGTTTTTTCAGTAAATTTTTACAGAATTCAACAATTGAATTTTAATTTTCGTGAAACTACATAGGGAAAGAAGAAATTATTTTTCTATGTTGGCTGTTGGGTAATAAAAGTTGCAAACTTTTGTATTTCCTTAAGGCAGACTGTAAAGTTTGTATTTTTATTTTAGAAGCTACAGAGTTCATGGTAGACGATGTATTTCTTACTTTATTGCATCACGAATCTAAAGATATAATTGCGAAAACTGCTATGGCGATTGCCGAAATTGCCAAAAGCAGAAAAGGAAGGGAAAAGTGTACTAATACGGACCTGGTCAATGCTCTTATAGATCTATTAAAAGATGATCGGATCGACGTATTGACGCAAACTTCCAGAGCTTTGGGGAATATTTGTTACAAGAATGGTAGGGAGCTTTAATCCCTAATGAACCAAGTTTTGTTCATGTATGTAGCTAGCATTAAAATGACCATTATTACACAATATTATTTAAAATAGCAATATCAATTTTATCTCGGATTTTTTTATTGCACAAATTTGCTGTTATAGGTATTACGTGCCCAATGGTAATTTTCAGTTAAAAACTTTAACATTAACAATGCTCTCTTAAGTTTATCTCTCTTTAAGTTTTACAATCTTTTAATAATCTAGAATTGCTATTATCGCAATATTAACACCAATTCTACCAAAAACACCTTTTAAAATTTTAATTTGTAATTATTTTCCAAGTTTAATCATTATTTCCTGATCGACTTTTTTTAACGATTATTTCCACAATTATTTGTATACAAATGCAAAAATATAAAAAGACATCTTTTGGTCGAAATAGTTATGAAAAAAAAACCTTGATAGAAGTATATCGAATAAAACTTTCGTTTTTCGAAATCGTAATAATTTAAAAATAAACCTCGGTGAAATAGAATTTTGTTCAGATTAATCGCTTCGTTTTAGATCGATAATTTAAATTACATTGCGTTAATAAATTTCGTTTTATTAAAATTATTATAGAGGATGGTAAGAAATTTGTCGAAGACAATAATGGATTGATTTCGATTCTGGCAGTGTTGGAAAAAAGCGTAATGCTGAAGAATGTAGAAGGTGCACCATCCCTTCGTAACGCTGCTGCAGGACTTTTACGAAATTTCCTTATTGACCGATCATCTCTTCAGAAAGAGGTGCGTCATGTTCTTGCATGGTACATTCACTCTATCGTGTTGACTATCGTTCGGATTATCACATATGTGTCAGTATGTCGTTGCAAAAAGCACTTTACACAACATTAATGTATTATTATGCATTTCAAATCATTTATACAGGGTGTTCAGCCACCCTTGGGAGAAATTTTAACAGGAGATTTTGGAGACCAAAATAAGACAGAAATCAAGAATACCAATTTGTTGATCGAGGCTTCGTTAAAAAGTTATTAACGTTTAAAGTTCCGCCTGTAGAACGGTGATTTGCAAACAGCTGCGCGCGCGCAATAGTGGTTCTCACTTACCATGAGAAACTCTACTTACCGACGTATCGACAGCATTGTAGTTTTGTGAGTGAGAACCACTATCGCGTGCACGCAGCTGTTCGCAGATTGCCGTTCTACAGACGGAACTTTAAACGTTAATAACTTCTTAACGAAGCATCGAACAACAAATTGGTATTCTTGATTTTCGTCTTATTTTGGTCTCTAGAATCTCCTATTAAAATTTTTTCCCAGGGGTAGCCAAACACCCTGTATATTGGAACTATTCTAGTATGTCACATATTTTTCCAAATACATATACATTGTATTTATCTTCATTCCAATAATTGTAATCCATAGAGTACGAAAGTAATGAACATATACTAATACATTGATGCAAATATCATTAATTCTCGAAACGTAACATACTAGTGTATTCGTGGTAATTACTATGTTAATCTGTAGGAAAACTTTCTTAGGCATTGCAACAAGAAAAAACCATACCTAATATCTGCAGCATTTTGGAGATCGATGGAACTGCAGGCAGAGAGGCTGCGTTGCGTTCGCTTTACATATTAGCAATACTGAATGATGTTAAGTTAGAATTTCTAGACGAAAGGCTCACGAAAATATTGCTCGATATTTTAGACAGCGATCCGTCGGTGGAACTCAACGAAATGTGCTTGGAATTTCTTCACGGTCAAGCAGAATATGGTATCTTGACAATCCACAAATTAGAAATCTAATCTTTCGTTTTCCAATCTTTATTCTTAAACATTGAAAAATTCTTTCCAGGATCAATCTTTCTTTCTATCAACAATATATTATACAAACTCTTCTACTATTTCTATATCAATTCAAATTACTTTGCACCAAGGTTAATAGAGATGTTTAAATTTTAGAGAATTCGAAATTGCTACTTGCGAAAGCGGGTGCCTGTGAATTGTTGCTGAAGCTTTTAATGGAGTACTGTCCAAGCTTCACATATGAAAAGATATCATGGAAGCTTGCTTGCAGTCTGATTGTCCTTATACTGACTGGAGGTATATTAAAAATATTCTTAATTAATTGACAATATAATTATCTCTAGGAAGTATTTTTAAAAGAAACTATTTATCTTTATATAATTTTAATAATCACTGACCCCAATGCCTTAGACTTTTGCAGTTAAATTTCTTACATTATTTATTTCAGATGTTATTCATTTCGTCTGTTCTACAAGTAGATATAGTTTAATTTGTAAAAAAAAAAGTTTACATCCATATTTTTTATAGCTTTGAATAATAATAGTCGATGTGGATTGTTAAATTGAAAAAAAACTATTTGTTGAAAAGTTAATAGGCCAATACGCGTTTATTTCTTATATTCGCGACTCTTTCGCGATTATTTCGAAAGCTAGGACGACATCAATTTGTAATCTGATTCTTCCAGATGAGAGCATGAACTATGTCTATGACAACAACAATGGTATTGTGTACAAGAAATTAGTTCAGTGGCTTGAAAGCATGAACCAATATTTGCAATTCACAGCAGTGTACGCAATGGGCAATTTTGCACGCACTGATGTTCATTGTAAGCTTATGGTTGCTCAAGGCGTTCACCGTAGTCTCCTCAATTTACTAAAAAACAATAACACGACGAAAACTCATGAAACATTCCAATATGCTTTGCTCGGTGCCTTGAGGAATCTTGTTATCCCTGCTGAAAACAAACCTATAATATTGGAAGATGGATTGCTAGATGTTTTGTGCCCCATACTGGACATCAAATCGCCCATAGTGCTCTGGGAACTATGGGCCACATTAAGGATCGTTATCGATGGTCAACGTGAGGTTTCATTTTAGAAATATTCGTTGCAATCAATTTTTTTCAAATATTTCTTCAAACATAGTTTCCTTTACATTTCTTTTTTTTTCTTTTCTTCAATTAAGTATTTTAATATGTTTGAAGTTCTTATGCGCATCAAATTGATCAAAATAGTATTATTGAATGATAAAATTTGTTTTCCCACAAATGTAACAAATTTCCAAGTTAGTTATTCAGGAAAAATTATATTCAAGATGTCTTGTTTCTTTTTGAGAATATATTTATTTTCCGTTGGAGTTAATTATTAGATAGAAATTGTCTTTTAAATTTAAATTGATAAGTTATTAATGCAGGTGAAGCTGCCATACAGTTGGGAAAGAAAAGCAATTTCATGAAAAGATTAATTGAGTGGTGTGTACTTCCTGGACTCCCTATGGGCGACGCACCTCGCCTACTTGTTTGGATCATTAATAATAGCAGGTGAAATGATTTCAATAAATATTTCAATTATTATTCCTTGAACATACACTCGACTCGGCGTCTATAAAAGATTCTTTGATACTTCTTTATAATATTCCTTACATTTCATAAATTCGCAGTTAAATGTTACTGAATTGTTTTATTTTATTTATATATTTATTTATTTTTTTTTATAGCGATTGTTTGTGCAAGCGTAATTAGCTAAGAGAATTTGTTAATTGTTTTCGTGTATTTTAAATTAGGAATAAGGAAATCTCGCTTTCGGTAATAAAATATGGAGCAACAAGATGCTTAGTCAAAATGTTAACAGCATATCACATTGTAATGCGGAACGAAGCTCTAATTAGTTTGATAGTATTGACGACGAGTTGTTTGCCTGAATGTGAAAAGTTTCTTTTTGAAGCTGAAATAGGAGAACAACTTTGCAGATTGTTCGATACTACGAATAATCTAGATACATCAATTCTGCAAAACTTCGTATTTCTTTTGGATAATATTACTAATTCAGGTATTCAAACTATGTTTAGTTTCTTTAGTCCTTTTGTGAAAATTCGGTTTCTATAATACTGACAAAAGAAACTGATTATTTGAAAATTGTATTTTTCAGATGTATTAAGAGAACAGCTAGGGAAAAGTAACTTGAGAGAATTGTGTCGAAATCTGGTTCAAGATGAAGAAAACTCGACTCTACGGAACAGACTGGAAGAAATTTGTGACAAACTTAATTAAACATTGCGAAAAAGTTGAAAGTTTTAGAAGTCTTTTACGAAGAGTGGAATTTCAACAAAATATAAGATTCTTTTCTAGAAGAAAATGAACTTTTATGCTAGAATATGAAAACTATTTCATATTCGAAACAGTATTTTTCGAAACAGACGTTCAATGTGTACAATTATACAAAAATAGAATATTTAATTTCATGCATTCAGTGATGATATATGAAGACTGTTTGAAATTGGAATTTTGTTATTTGTTTTCAGTACAAAAAGATCTCGGTTAAACAATTGATTCGTTGAATTAAGATAAATGTAATTTATATATGTGTCTATTGATCTATTGCTACTTAAGATAAATATTAGTCGATTGATTAATGGGCGGGGTGGGAGGGCGATTCTAGAAATTTGTGAACATCTAAAAATATATATACTTTTACGAAATCGACCAAACTATATTATTTACGCGACCAATTATAAGATTGATATTTAAATAAATAGATGACCACTTCTGATAATTGAAGTATTTATTTGCTTCATTGTTTTCAAAACGTTCTTTTAAAAGGTCATGATTAGAACGTAGTTCTAAAATTAGTTTTAAGTAAAATTATGAGGAAATTACTGTTAAATTAAATATTGCTTGAAAATTACTGACAATATCGTTGAATATTATTTTCTTATTTTTTTATTGTAACACTAATAAACCAAAGTTTTCGAGATGTGATTGGAAGGGTTAAATAGATATCCTGACATAATTTTAATACTTTGAGTATTTTAAGAGTAAAAATTTAGAAGATCATTCATAGAATTTGAGGCGAAATGGAATTAATGATTTGAAGTGCGTGGTTCGCTGTTAATCCACGGAACGAAAATGGCGCCCCAATCAACTGGGCTGCCACGTAATGTTGTGTGTCGCGTTGACGAGTTACGTTTCTCCGACAATTAACAGCGAATTAGACCGTAAAAAGTGCAATGTACGTCGCCTGGTGCAGTGAGGTCTAAAATTTGCTTTATTCTTGCCCTGATAACCTCGTCCAAAAGGTGAGAATGTCATTTTACCAAAGACGAGACCTAGTTGAAATGTTTGACTTCGTAGCACCTCGATTTCGACGTGACGTTTTAACCTTTCGATCTTTTCCCTTCGTTTTAATCCTTCGAAAACTCTTATATCCTTTCCATTTCTCCAATGTTAAATACCTGAGTCACAAATTTTGTTTTCTTTTTGTTTAAAAAATTTCAACCTGACGACCAATTATGCATTTATACAAACTGGTTTGCCTTCGTGATCATTTTATTTGATTATATTTACTGGTTTTATCTTGTTTTTTTTTTTATTACTATCGTCTTATTGTTTTCCTTATTCAAGTTTATTTGAACAAAACGATATTGTTCCCGTCTATTTTATGCGTTGTTTGTCCAAAATTTATTTGACATACTTTGAACATTTTTCGAGATTCAATATATTTAAGCAAATCCAGCTTTCAAATATCACAAATTCACATTCAGTTTTGAATTTTAGATGAATAGATTATTTAGTATTATTATTTTGACATTTTTATGAAAATGTAGCATCGTTCAAGGTTCGTTACATTTAAACAGATTGAACAGTATATGCAAATATTGAAACACTTGTTAGCGATATAACTGTTAGGTTTTTACCAATGACCTCTATTATATCATGTTTAATTTAAGTAAGAAGCTAAAAAAGAATGTTTTATTCATTATATATGTTATTTGACATAAATATTTTATTGAGTATTATATTAATTCCCATATTATTAACTAGTATTAACTAATTTTGCAAGTGATACATTGTTGTATGCAAGAAGTCATCAGAGACAATAAAATATGGTTCTTCATTTCTTTGTAAGCAAATCTAGTATTTATAAATGAATGCTTAAAAGAAATATATAAGTGAAAATAATATTCTTTTTTCTGTTATTTAAAAATTTAAAGCTGCTTTAGTTTTAATAAATGATACAATTTTATGTGCATTCTACATTTATTTAAAATATAATAACTTGTATTTTAAATAAATGTAGTGCTTTCAGTTATTTTAGCTATTTTCATTATTTTTACTTTTGTGACTTTAATATCTTTGCATGCTTGAATTTTTGTAGTGACGTTTGGAAGTCTGCAATATGTCTCAACCAATAAAGTATCAATACCATTCGTACAGCAATGAAAGTAACTTGAAAAGTGGTCCTTCCCAGATGGTGAATGGTCAATCAAACGTGGTACACCATAATGGCATGCAACCAACAAATTATAATTTTACTGGCAAGTATATACTAGTACAAAAATTGTATTATTAATCGTATTCTCGAGGTATTGTCCAGCATCCATTTTTATTTTAAATGCAAAGAAATGCTAATTTAAAGTTTGGAAAAGTACAAATAGTTCCAATTCCTAACAGAATAATTTCTGTATTTGTTTTTCAACTTCTATTAATGTTTTTGGTCGATTGCAACATTGCACACAACACAACATTTTTACTTTGAATCTGAACAGTATCTTAAACCATAATGGAAGTATGATGTTTGAAATGTTTCTAGCGATGAAAATATGTATACAATATATTAATGTTGTATTAAAAAATTGTTGCTCATAGGTAATGGTTTAACTGTAAGTAGAAGTTGAAAGTTAAATTTTAGTGTGTCTTGTTTCCAGGCACCCCGTCCTCGCAGTCATCGCGCGATCCATCCAGGGAAACGTCGAGAGATCCATCTCCGACTCCATATCTTTACAACCAATACAGACCACCTTTGCAACGTCCACCAGTGCCTCCAATCAATGGCCAACAGAGCACAATGAATCCTGTAATGCCACCGCCAGTAAGGTTACCCCAAATCCAGCAATATCCGTCAATGTATAATGTCCAGAATCAATACCAAGCAACCCAAAGTCAACCGCCTCCAAGAGATGAGTTAATAAATTCGCAAATAGATTCGACGAAACCAGTGATCGGATTTATGCAGAACTTACCATTGGAATCGAAATCTTATAAAGTTGAAAATCAGGATACAGTGCAAGGCTCCCAGCCATTTGTACAAGAACAAAATGTGTTCCCCAATCTTGCGCAACAGCCTAGAGGACAAACTATTAGCCAACCAAACTTTGGAGGGCAAAGAATGTACGCCAAAAATGCACATGGTATACAACATGCTGCCACTGCACCAAATGCAATGCCTTATGCAGCAGTTGGTGGACAAATCCCACCGAAGGCACCCACTACAGCCACAGGATACTCTGGACAGCGAATGGTTTGTATTTTATAATAATTTATAAAAGTATTTAGCTACTAATAAATTTATGATAAACCCACGAATATATAATTTAGTTCCTAAGTTTTATGTGTTTTTAATTTACTTTGAAAAATTATAAACAATAGCTTCCTTTTAAGCGTTTGTACGAAATTGTTTATTGCAGTATTTTTATTGAAGATGTTTATATATTTGTTACTATGTTCCTCAAAGTATCTTGTTGTCTTTTAGTATCAAAATCAGCCACCAAACCCAATGAACATACCACAAGATTCAATGAATAAACATTACCCGGAATCATATCCAGATCAAATGAATCAGTTGAACAGCCAAATGAACATGATGTCCGTCACGCAAGCTGGGTACAACAAACTATGGGTAAATGAAAGCATACTTCCTAATAGTCTGTATTCTTTAAAAGGTTGGAAAACATGAACGAGATATTCTTTATCCGTTTTATTTATTGTCCGACGTTTCTTCGTTGTTATTACAAAATAGTCTAGGTTGATTTAGGATGATAAAGAGTTTTGAGTTTCCATTGTTATTGGAGTAATACTATTCTATTTTTAGGGAATGGAGACTGTCGATCTCTTGCAATATAGAAATATTTTACCTTCGGAAAAAGTTGAACCGCCGAAAATCAAACTTCACAAAGAATTTCTAGACAGTGTTAATTGCAGCCCAGAGTAAGCATTCTAATTAATAAATAACAATTAGGACGTACATACTGGAGAAACATCATTCTATAACTATTGTTTCGTTGATTCTTTCAGCATCTTTCGCTGCACGCTAACGAAGATCCCAGAGTCGAATTCTCTGCTACAAAAATCTAGGTTGCCCCTAGGAGTTTTAATACATCCCTTCAAAGACTTGAACGTACGTACATTTCTTGTCAAATATCAAATAAACATCAACTCCGATGCAATTTAATCAAATGTTAATCGAATTAGGGGTATATTGTAATCAAAACATGAATATAAAAGAGTTCAATTTTTTTTTTAATTTTAGACGGCAATACTCTTTTAATGCGTTTTATTAAAAAGAATAGTTCATGCTTTAGGAATCTGTATTCATTTGAACATTTCAAGTAATTGAACAATGTACTTTTAGCAGTTACCAGTAATACAATGTAGCACAATAGTGCGATGTCGTTCTTGTAGAACGTACATCAATCCATTTGTATATTTCAACGACTCGAAAAGATGGAAATGCAATCTCTGTTACAGAATAAACGAACGTAAGTACCACCGACATAATTGAAACGTTTTAGTAAAAATGAATATTTCTTTGGCATTTGCTCTGCTTGTCCAGAAATAGAGTGAATTTCTTAGGCGTTAGACGTAAGGTTTTGCACAAATTATGTTCGCAGTGCCGGAAGATTTTCAGTTCGATCCTGTGACTAAGTCTTATGGGGATCCATCGAGACGACCGGAAGTGAAAACTAGCACGATCGAGTTTATTGCACCTAGCGAATATATGGTGAGATATATTTATTTCGAAGTATAAAGTTATTTCAAAAATTGAAGCTTCGATTAAAAAATTCCTAATTTCATTTAAAAGTATAACAGTGACCTTAATTTTGTATTGAAAATTAATTTGTTTTTAAATTTAAGCAATTGCTATTTCTTGTCGGTTAAGGGGCTGAAATATCGTGGGGACTAATTTGTGCTTCACCCTGTAGATTAATATAGTCGATAATATAGGTAGAAAAAATAGATTCTGAGGTTTGTTAAAATGGGAAGCGTTAAGTAAACGAATAATGAAACTAATATGTTCAAGCTACGACCACCACAGCCAGCCGTGTATCTATTTGTTTTGGACGTTTCGAGACTTGCAGTGGAAAGCGGTTACTTGAGCATAGTGTGCAACGTAATTTCAGAGGAGTTGTCGAGGCTACCTGGTGACGGTAGAACGCAAATTGGATTCCTGGCGGTAGACTCCGCGATACACTTCTTTAGCATACCTGACAACGTATCGCAACCCCAGGAAATGGTTATGCTAGATATAGACGGTAACGTAATACCCTTGAACATTTAGTAATAAATTATGTATTCACAATCTTATAACAAATTCGGTTTATTTGTTTAATTATTCCGCGTCTGAATGGAGAAATGAATTATCCAATCTGAAATTTGAAACCTATATTTTATTGAGAAAATCAAACCTTGTAATCAATTTATACAATTCTGATTAGTACGCAAAAATTTATAATATTTGCACAGACGTCTTTCTTCCATGTCCGGAGAACCTAATAGTCAATTTGAAGGAACGCGAAGAATTACTGAGAGATTTACTGGCCCAATTACCGACCAAATTTCAAGGAACTTATGATACGAACAGTGCTTTGGGCGCAGCGCTGCAAGCTGCATACAAACTTATGGTGAGCATTAAGAAGAAATATTACAAATTATATATTTAATTCATTCTACTATTCTACTACATAATGCATTCTGATATATGCCTTTCAATGTTACTTTCAATACTTCTGAACAATTTTATCGCTCGATTAAAAGCAGAAATAAATTCCAATTTGTTGGAAAGAGTTTTTCTGTGGAAGCATACTACTCCGTATTAATTTTAGTTGCCAACCGGTGGACGGGTGACCGTTTTCCAAACCTGTTTGCCAAATATTGGCCCCGGGCTTTTGCAACCAAGGGAAGATCCAAACAGCAGGGCTAGCAAAGATGTAGCACACTTAAATCCAGTCACGGACTTTTATAAGAGATTGGCGTTAGATTGCAGCGGACAACAAATTGCGGTTGACTTATTTCTCTTAAATAGTCAATACTGTGATTTAGCCACTCTCTGTAAGTATTTCCGATATTTCTTGTCATTTATAATATTTTACACGTATAATTAATTTTCAAATTTCAAATTTTACGTGAAAATTATTGTTCATCCTACTTAAAAGTAGCTGCAATGCTCTGCACTGTAAGGAAATAATAATTATATAAAGTGTGACAAACGGGAAAGTGCAAAAAGAAATTTTCTTTTGCAGCGGGTATGTGTAAATTCTCTGGAGGCTGTATATACCATCTTCCTCTGTTCCGTGGCTCGAAACAACAGAATGCAGAGATTCTGGACAAAATACTTAGACGTTATCTGACCAGAAAGATCGGTTTCGAGGCAGTAATGAGAATACGATGTACGCGCGGCTTGAGCATCCATACTTTTCATGGGAATTTCTTCGTCAGGTCGACCGATCTTCTTAGTCTGCCAAACGTCAACCCAGACGCTGGATTTGGGATGCAAATTTCCATCGAAGAGAACCTTTCGGATGTTCAGAACGTCTGTTTCCAGGCTGCTTTGCTTTACACTTCGAGTAAAGGTAGTTGAAACCATAAACCATTACTATAGCGTTTCTTTTCTTGATTCAAACTTGAACATTTGGTTTAAAAATCGTGTTCAGAGCCAATGAAAGAAAACCAAGTTACTATTTGTATAAATTGAATTAAGTTAATAGAAATGAGAACAGAAAATTATGTTCTAGGGGAAAGAAGGATTAGGGTACACACATTGTGCTTACCAGTGGAATCACATTTGTCGAACATTCTTCATTGCGTCGACCAGCAATGTATAATAGGTTTACTTTCCAAAATGGGTAAGATCAATCTATTTTGTAATGAAAAATATCCCATAAATAACAGAAAAAATATGAATAGAAATAATAAATGTTAATTAATTTCTGTTATTAATGCATTCGCAGCTGTGGATAGGTCCCAGCAGTCCTCCTTGTCTGACGCAAGGGATGCCCTAATAAACGTGGCCATAGACGTCTTATCAGCCTACAAATTGTCACAGTCGGTGACCTCCAGTGGACTTATGGTTCCAGGAAGCTTAAAATTGCTGCCACTGTATATTATTTCCTTACTCAAATCCGTAAGTATCGATTGTAGACAAAAATTAAGATCGTAACCAGAACGAGGATTAAAATTGTTTCCGCTTTATTTTATTTCCTTGCACGAAATAAAATTACCATTTTACAGAGTAATAACGTTCGTTTCAGGTCGCTTTTAGGTCAGGAACGAGTACAAGACTCGATGATCGTGTATTCGCGATGTGCCAGTTAAAAACGCTGCCACTGTTTCAATTGATCCAGATGATTTATCCGGACCTTTATCCGGTACACGCGCTGGAAGATCGAAATTCGAAAGATATCGACGGGAAACTTTGTCCACAGCCACCTAGACTTCACCTTTCCGCAGAGAAAATTCACTCGAAAGGCGCTTTTCTCATGGACGCTGGGGACAGAATATTCATTCTGATTTGCAAGAACATTCATCCTACATTTTGTTGCAACGTTCTCGGGGTCACTGCTTTTGCTTCGATACCAGAAGAACTTGTAAGTTTTTAGTTTAACGCATAATTGGGTAAATTGTCTTACTTAAACAAGGTCGTGTCTTGTTTAAAAATTGAAAATAAAATTCCTTGCACGAGGATTTAAAAAATATGTATCGCTACAATATTAAAAATAATATAATATAGTTTTTTTTTCATCTTTGTAGCTGAATTTTTAATATTGACAATACTTAAATAATATTTAGAGAATTTCGAATCAATGAACTTTTCTTTTTTTTATTTCCAGTACGAATTACCAGAGATCGAGACGGCTGAAAGCGAAAGGCTACGTAATTTTGTATTTAGTTTGCAAGAAGAAAAACCTTTCCCCGCTTCTGTACAAATTATTAGGTAAGTTGTGTTTTAAATCTTCACATACAATTTTACCGTACAATTATTTCAATCAGAAATATTGTTTAAACGTACGTGAAATTCATATTGTTAGACATTATATTATTATTTTATACAAGAATTTAAGAGGACACGATTGATAGGTTGGTGAAAGTGTGAACGCGTGTGAGAGTTGTAAACGTATTCAAACCAAATTTAAAACCAATTTATTATTATACAAAAATGACAAATTTGTTTAGAATATCAGATTATTATCACGATAGAATGTTTAATTATAGACGTAAAATAATTATGAATACTATTACAACGTAGTAACAAATGTAAATGTAATGTTTAATACTATTTTTCTTTTCAGAGACGACAGTCATTTCAGGACACTTTTTGTCGAGCGATTGGTCGAGGACCGATTCGAGTCGGCTTTAAGTTATTACGAATTTTTGCAACATCTTAAGACACAAGTGAAATAATGATAAAAGAAACTATATTGTCGATTTGAACGGAAAAAAGAAACAGAAACATAAACGTTAACACAAGAAAAGACATTGTTAATTACAGTGAATGTGTTTAGCAATCGTGGAACTCTGTTCAGAAATACGAACTTCGTTAAATGATTCTTTAATCGGTCGATTAGGATGGAACGCTTAGGGTAATAAAACCGTACATGTATATATATGTATATGTGTATGTATATACATGTCTACATTTATGTACATATACGTATGTAGGAATGAATGTTATTATTGTTTTAAGAGGTGTTGAAGCATTTAAATATAATTCAACTGTAATTATTATTATTATTATTATTATAGAAATTACTATTATCTCTATTGCACTACTTTTTTCAGCAATTTCGTTCTTTTGTAAATGTTTTTCCGCTAAAAAAAATAGCTTTTCAAAGTTTTTAACGATTAATTAACGTTATCGGGAAAGTTTATTTGCATTCAACGATAAAAATGTCATTTAACTATTGGATCGATGCATAATTCAGAACGATTTATAAAATATTTAAAAACTATTAAATTATACAAATTTAAAATATTTTCTTCATTACTGAGCCAATCTGCGTTGTATATAATTTTTTCAAAGGATAAAAACTATACCTATACAAGGAATAAAGAATAGAGTAATGAATTTATAAATTCAAATATATTGCATCTACTATATAAAATTGTACGCGTATGTATCTAATGAAGGTTGCAAAATTGTTCAATATTTCTATGATTATTCCTCTCTGTTTTAGTATAGATCGGACGTTGCAATTTAAAAATAACTTTTGCAAGTAATAAATTCATTACCAATCAGAAATAATCTGCAACGCTCGACTAAGAAAATATTCTTGATTTTAGATGTGAACTTGTCCACCGATCCAAGGAATGAATCTTTTTCTAGAATTTGTTAGTTTCGAATGAAATATATATATTTCTATTTCTATTTATCAAAGTAAAATTGTAACGAAATCATTTATTCTCGTGTCGAAATAATTTTGTAAATAACTTGTTCTGTTTGTCTGTACCCCGAGCAGAAATTTCACAATTAATTGCAGATTAGACGTGTTAATAAACGACGTATTTGTAACGTAAAGCATCATATACACGTGCAAACTAATTGACAAGATATGGTGTATCCAGGAAACAAGAAATCCTAACGCCCTCAAAACAACGATTAGTCGATTTTTTAACGACCCAACTCTATTGATCTTCTACGATAACAATTATCAACAATTACTACTTGTAAATCTATGTGTTCTATTAATCTATATTTATCTTCAATTTTCAAATGTTTGATCGCAATTAAAACAGTTGAAGTAGCGAAATTAATGACATTAGATTTACAAGCATTGATTGCACGTATTTTTCATACGCATATTCTTTAATTGGATAGGCGTTGGAAAATTCTTTTTTGTTTTTTAAAAAATCGAACAAATCTGGATCATTTTTAAATTAGAAGACTCGCATTGCAAAATAGTTTTAGCTTTTTCGCCGACAAATTCCAGAAATCTGATTTTTTTATTAAATTAGCGTAAAGTCGAAATCTTTAAGATTTGATACCCCAATTTTGATGTCCTTGCCCCCCACCCTCACCCTTCGAAGCAACATTACCGATATTGGTACCACTTAGCATATAGGGTAGGTAAAACTTTTCGACCAATAAGTATTTACATATACAGGATGGGCAAAACGTTTCGATTAAATGAAAAGTTAGGAGTATATTTGAGACATACAGTCTCTCTTTCGATACCCCAAAATTGGGGTTAGTAAATATTACTAGAAAATCAATCTATTTGCGATATAGTGGCGCCAGTATCGCGGGATTACTTTAGGGTCCCTGACTCAGTAGTAACTAGTAATCAATGTAGTCTATGGTTTATATGGAAACCATTACAAAATTAGTATGATTGTGATTTTGTAAATTATTCAAGTATTTTTCAGAGTTCTTCGATAATTGTCGAGAATTTGCCGTTGTTATTGCAGTAATATATTTTGACAATATGTACAGTATATTATAATAGAAATTGATCACTATGCCGGACAAAGACGCGAAGAAACGAAAAGAAAATTTGTATGGTAGGTTCATGTTATAAAAACACATTCTATTTAAGTTTCAAGATGAATGAAAATGTTCAGTAAATTATTTTTCGACGAATTAAATTTGCATAAAACATATTCTTGCAAAATATAATTACTGTTTTATCTCGAATATATTATAATTAATTACTTGCGGGCAGTGTCTTTTCAATTTAGTAAACAAATTTTTTATAATAAAATTACACGCAAATATTTACTCATTAATGTTGACTTCTAACACATAAAATGATTGTCATTTTCATTCAGTTATTGATAATCTATGTTTTATAATAGTTAAATAAAAATAGCATTCATTATAGATGTTACAAGTCGATGGAACTTTATCATTTACAAAGCGATAAAGTTCCTTTTAAGTTACTCTATGTCTGCGTAATTAAATTCAATGATTTTGCAATCTGTTTTAGCTACAATGTTTCTAAGTGGCATAGCAGGAGTTTCAGCTATGGTTGGATTCTGTGGTGCATTGTCATCAGCCAAAAAACATGATACAAAGAGTTTTGATATGGGAGTTATGGGAGGGAAAGGTCTCCCAGAATCAGGAGCGATGCTTGCTACCAGAGCTTTGTTTTGGGGTTCCGTGTGGGCGATCAGTGGCTGTGGATTGCTTTTTTATGGCATTTGGAAGTTCTCTGGAGCAACAACTATGGAAGAGTTCAGAGTGAAAGTTGGATCTATGCTACCACGCATACCAAAGAACAATCCTCCTCAGAGCAGAACCGAATTCGAAAATCTTACAGATTTGCTTAGGTACGTCTCCGAGGAATGGGGTAAAGAAGAGTAACCTTGTTTTTCAAACGTGAAAATCGAAGGGAATAAATAGAAATAAAATACATAGTACAGGACAAAGAAGAGAGTGACTTAATATAACAAACGCGTAATAATTATTCTGTCGTTTTGTATATATGTAAATAGAGTTTTTTATATTGTAATATTGAGAAGTACGAATTATCGTTGTTACAATTAACACTGTTGTATAAGTTGCAAGAAATGAAATACAAGAGAGATTGGATGTTGTACTGAAAAATCATTTACTTTTTTTAGATACAAGACAATTTATAAGATTTACAGCAGTGCCCACGTAAGTGACCGCATTTTTGCCGACTTAAGTGTCGGCAATTGAAGTGGAACGGAGCTTCTCACGTGATCAACGTTTCATAGGTAAGTTATATTTTCATTTGTTTCAGCATTTGTCTAGTATTTATTTATTTGTCTAGTATAATGACAAACGTCGTAACAAAAATATGCTTAGTTTATATTACGCGCAATATAAATTAACTCGAGATTATATACGTTAGTCTATTTAATAAATTTAAAGCAAGAACGCCCAAGTTTGTCGTGGAATAGTTCATTGTCTTCGGCGCTAGATGGCGCGCATTTGTCGACAAACTTGGACGTTTTAGCACCAGGGGGCCTGAGGTCGATAAATTTCGCGTGCAGCATTATCAATTCAGGAAGGAACAAGATTATTACGCTGTATCAGCAGTAGGAATTAAAACTAGCAGCATCTGAGGATATCTTATCGCAGGTATTCGGTCGCTAAGGAGGATGAATTCATATAAAAAACGAATAATATAAAGAACATACGCTACCGAGTAAATAACAGCAAGCAAGGGGGTATGCATGAATTAAATTCATAACGTATATAATCAGTTTAGGGGGATTGCCATCGCAACCTGATCTCGGTGACGGGATATCAAAAATAGCATCGTTTCGAGGCATAATCAATAAAACCTGTAATAATCTGTGCATGGCAGAGCTTGGGTCTGAGCTTTTAGACACGACATCGGTGGTTCCTGGCACCGATAGCGATGGATCATCGTTTCCATCTTAACTTCGTTTCTTAGGTAGCTCTACTACCGCCTTACTTAGGCCAGCTACCAAACAGTAAACGTATCTCGACGCAAACACGAGAAACATAATATATTTCTTGCTGAAAATCTAAATTTTTATCGACGCTCGATCTACTACAATTTTTCAGCTACTTCGTCCGGGAAGATTTATTTTTCCCGAATGAAAATGTTTTCCTTAATTATCTGAACGTTAAACGCGTTAAAACGCTCGGGAACCCCAAGTTTCTGAAGGCTTTTTCAAACGCCTGCTACGCATACGAGTATACTTGGGCGCGGCACTGTAGACACGTTTTTCAACCCCCAAGTATACTTAGCGTTCCCTGTAAAAAGGGCTAATAACTTGTGGATTACGACGCCCTTCGCATAATCGGAAGTATATAATTAGTCTACGTGAAACGGATTTAGTTTTAGATAACGACGTACATTTTTTATTTACTTTAAACGGGGTTAGGATTATATCGAATATTTCATAGGTACTCGTGCCTACGATACGTTGATTAGTCGATACCATGATTCTATTTCAACGCGAGAGTCATACCGTAAGCGTTTATTGTGGGATGTAATAAATTTTGTCACCAAACTTGTACTAACCGCTATTTCGAAACGGAGAGACGGAAAGGACTATGAGGACCCAGTCGAGGATACTAAGTGCGGGTACAGGTATCGGAGGAACCCGATTTTATTTCCCAAAACATCCTTATTTAGCTAAAATTATCAAGTTGGAGGCATTACTTTCCTTTTGACCTTTCTTCACGAATGATTTCAAGAAAGTAGATGCACGCGTCGAGGCCAAAAGTACCGTAATATTGGTACCTGGTGCAACCAGCGACCCTAACTGTTACTATCAAAATAAAAGAAGTCATAGGATAGCAGTTTCCCGACTAAAATGGTTCTCGGTTAAAAATAAAGATTATACTTTCGTCGATGAGTTTCGTAGTCGAACGCACGCGTTTGTAACGAAAAGAAGCAGCGTTGATAATAAAATAATTTGCAGGATCGTGACGTTATTCCTCGGGGAACCATCTCACACCCTCAGAGCTTTCTTCACGCACGATGCATTTAATCGTAGCTTCCCCGCGCTGCTCCCTCGAGCAACGTTTTTCTCGTTCCGGTTCTACATTAAATCAGTAATTACCGAAGTGTTGTAGAGCTCAAAGGTATCCACACCTTTGTTTTCAAATGACGCGAACGAGAGGGAAGCTTTGCAATTATCCGTCTTCTCTGCACGATACAATTTCTCATCCCTGTTTGTAATCTATGCTGATACATGCCATAGATACGGGAAAAAATACTTCCTGTATCAAAAAGAGTTTGTTCTCATTGTTTTGCCTAAAAACAACGCCTATAGGAGCGCGATTGATCGCTTGGCTGTGTACGGCAAACGCCTCTGAGCGTTCAGAATGTACATACACTTAACGCGTGAAAATGTATCTCGTACAGGGCATGCGCTTGCGTCAAAATGGTCCACAGTATCAATAGACGTAAATTTCACGGTCCTGCGAGCATTTGTACTCGAATATTTATTAGAAGTCGGTTCGAACAAAGCCAACGAGGCCTATTATGTTAACACGAGTATCGTTCTCTCGCCGAAGATGCACGTCTCGTTCTCGTAGCTGCGTGGCATTTTTTTTTTTACCAGTTTCGTGGGGGTTAAATCTGTACGTGGCAGTATCGACGCGAGCAAGAAAATCGAGTTACGCCGGTGACGACAAGACCAAGCAACGTGCCAAAAGTTGGTCCAGGGAGGAGGAGGACCAGGAGGATAATATTCCTGGCCGACAGAGAACGGCGAGAGTATTGATTAAGGGGTTCGTCGGGAGGGATCCTCGTAGTCGAGGGGATTTCCTCTCCGAATGCACGGGATGAATGGAGTGGGAGGGAGGGTTGAGCACCGACAGGGGTCGCGGGGGTGTTTGGCCGAGGCGGTTGTTCGGGGATTGCACGCAGTGGGTGCGTACGCGACGCATGCGCGCCACGGTCTCTGCCCCCGCACGCATGCACGTACGTATCCTCTGCGTGTATTTACCAGTGCACGGTCGCTGAGCCGGTACGCGCTGCCCTGCACGTGGCGTTCCCCGGTCTTCCACGAACAAAAGCAAAAGGGAAACGGCCGAAGTTTGGGGAAAAAGTTCGATAACGATAAAACCGAAAAGTACATACCGAACGAAAGTGCCGGCGCGTATCCTTTGGCCCAGCATTCGCTGGAACGATCCGTCCTTCGCGTGCACCCGGTACGCAGAAATGGGACAAATTTCACGTTACCAACCTAATGCAATTTATACGCTTCTATCCGCTGTGAATTATTTTTATTTGACGAGTCCCGTGTTTATATATTAACGAACAGTCGTACAAGAGAAACGAGCAATAAATATAGAAATATAAATTTCCGGGCAACGAACAAACAGACTTATGCGAAACGACTGTTGGATCGAGCAGATCGTCGGACGGTGTTTTTCTTTTTATTTATTTATTATTCGTGTAAAATTATGCCCATCTCTGACGCACAATAGCGACCGTGTTAGTTCGTACGGCGGCGACCGCCTGGAGGAACAGCGGGACGCTCGTCTGTCTGCGTAACACCTCCTTGTCGCTCTTGTTTCTCTCGCGTCCGACCGTCTCGCTTCCTCGCGGCCGCCCCCCCCCCTCCCCTCCCCGTCTGATACTCGTCGACCACAGGCAACAGAACCGGCACCGGCACCGGCACCGAAGGGCTGCAGTTGCGATCTGATGATCGGCGAGTGCGCGTCTCTTGTGCGCATCGGTGAAACGTTCGCTCGGTATGTCAGGTGTCGTCTCGATAATCGCGAGCCGTCCATGGTGAGTCGAAACCGCAACGTTGGGGCCGAAGGATACCTGGAGGATCGGAAACGAGCGATGTGCACGGAGATCCGTCCGGTAAGTGGTGTAAACACCATTCCAGTTACTACGCGAACACGATGGACGTTGACGCGCGTCGACACGCGGCGTTGGTTTACGTTTGTTTCCCAGAAACGGTGACTGACAGAAGGGGAACACGAAGACTCGTAACTTACGAACGTTGTCGCGTCGTTGTCAACGTGAAATAGTTACTTCGAGTCAACGTTCCGTGGAATTTTTTCTGCGACGATTCCAATTAAATTGCATATACGAGACACGCGGGTCCACGCGTCGCGGAGATTCTCGATTCCGACTCGGTCGATATCGGTGTCTGAATTGTCAGTAATTAATCGACGAGTGGTACGATTATACCGGTACTTGGCATCGTCAAGGAGGCAGCGATAAGTAGAAGTAACCCCATCGGCGATCACCCTTCGTTCGTGTCATAAAATGTTTAACGTAGATCGAAGAACTGTCTGTCCAAGTGGTAACGAAACCTATGGAAAATTTCACCGAATGTGTCTTTTATAGGAAGACGAGGTACGTGAGATTTATCTATCGTGTTAATGTTTGTTCGTCGGTGGCCGTACGTGAATAGAAGCCGCGATCTCGTCCCCCACGTGCTTGTCAATTATTTGAACCGAAGCCTCGTGTACTTTATTAACACTCATTGTTGGCAAATGTTTATCTTTTCGGTAGTGATTGTCGTCGCTTTGTCACGCGTTATTTGCCTCGATACGATGTCTCGTAATATGCACAACGACCGTCGCGGTTTAAGAAGAAAGTAACCATGCGTTGACAAGAGGAAACCGAAATTGTTAGGCTTTGTTCCCCGAACGCTTCGTCGTCGGATATTGATTTATTCTCATCGCGCGTTTCGAATTTTTAATCTTATCGAAACAATTACGTAGACGTTCGATCGATTCTCTAATGTTTTTCTGGCCCTGTAATTCCACATTGAGATCTCGGTTACCATGCTCCAAATTCTTTAAGAGGATTCTGCGTGGTAGAGTGGATCCCTCCCGTACACGAAATGAGTTCCGAAAGGCGAAGAATTGATAATATCGTGGAAAAGATTCCGCCGTGCATATGTCGGTTCGATTTTGTAATTCGAACTTAACGCCCGTGGCGGATCTCGTCGTCAAAGTGGCTCGATTACCTTTCTTTTTCGGTGGGCCTTTAGGACGCGACGCAAAACGTAGTTCTCCGGGGCGTACGAAGCTTAAATGGCATATCTTGGTGTGCGCGGTGCGACATAAAGTCATTAAAGAATTTCTAAGGCGTCGGACAACGGCCTGCCACTACGAGCCTCATTGCTCCGTACATACAGGCAACCGTATCCTCCACATTGCTGGGTGTACGTGCGACAAGTACACGAATCTTCGTCCTCTTCTGTAATTGAGGTTGCCTTTAATGCGGTCGGCGTGCACCTCTTCTCGCTGATAAATTACTGGGACAAATGTTCGACGAGCGGCCACGCTCGTTGGGCAGAAAATTGAAACCCAGCATGCTCCTAACTGCGCTGCGTTTATTCTAACCTTTACGATAGACGCGTCGTATCGTTCCATTTGTTGATTTTAAAACGTATTCTTCCTGATACGAAAATTGTTTCCTGCCGAGACCGGTGATAAATGTAACGATACTTCTGACATTTTGGCCTTAATGAAAGGAAAGTAGACGATATTTTTGCAAACGCGTACGGTAAAGAGAGTACCATGATTACAAGTAATATCTAAATACGACTTCTTGAATTAGGAGAAAGCAAAAATAAAAGAGATATCAGTTCGTTAACTTTCTCACCGCACCTAAAATATTTACTCGATTACATCTCACACGGATACGACTCCTCTTCGATGATTCATAAAGATTACGTTCTCATTAGCGACACGGCGTCGACTAAATGTATTCATACACCGAAGAGAGACATTTTGAAACAGTTTTCTTGGAAACAATGCTGTTGCTCAATCAAAGGCATTCGGTTAATGCCTTTGGATTGCTTAACTTACTCCTTTGAATAATTTCTTAGTCGTACCGAGTATTTGATCCGCCGAATTCCCCGCAATGATAATAACACCGGCTTTATTGCACCGTAAAAAGAATAATGTCACCGAAGCAAGCAACTACATGGGAAAGTACTTTAGATAATGTTGAGTAGACGAGGTTACGTCCAACTTTAGTCAACAGGGTTACGTTTAGTGCTTTCCAAAATGGAGGGTGCAAGTATAAGGATGACGTCTTACAGTCCCAATGTCTTACTCCGTTGTTTCACTTTTAATATCGTTTCACGATGCAACAAAGTGATGAAATTTGTTAGGTCCTTTGTTCTGGATTTGTGACAGCCAGTCACGATTGAACTTTTCACGTAAGAACGCACGTTCGCGATGAAAATATCAGAGCGCACGGTCGACGAAGTCACGACTTTGAACGGGTCTCGTTCATGGAATGTCTGTTGCATGCAAATGACAACAAACGCGCTCACGTTGCAGGTCGATACAATCCTCCTGCGATTGGAAATTCACGTAATCATTGCCCGACGAGATATTTTAAAACGAAAAGTTCTGTCGTTGTTATCTTCGTCACGTGTCCGTTCGGAAATAAACAGAGAATCCGCGGTATCTTTTCACCTTGCGACGATATTTATACAAAATTCTGGCGATCGCTTCCATGGTCAAACGCCTGAAATAATTTCGATCGATATTAATATTTATTTCTGTTCCGTTTCGTTAAAATTTACCCGCGAAAAAAATAGGCTTATCCTTTCACCGGAACCGCCGGTAACTTTCCGAGTTAATTCCCGTTTGTACGGATAAGAAGGCGGGAATTATTAATTCATGAACTTTCGCAGCGCAGCTTTTAATCGTAACTTCGAAATTCTCTTGCGCGTACCACGAGGAATTCCTCGTGCGATTAGTGGAACGTTCTTTAGCATCGCATGCACACACACGAGCTCGCGATGGTCACGCTCCAAAACTGTTACTTATTACTTCAATCTTATTACCGCTAACGGAGCATTACAGCGCTTTAGAATATATGTACTATTTCTCTCGGCGAGTCCCCGGGGCACCACCCGCGTCTCGGTAACGCTTTAAACGAAAATTATACAAGCACGATTTTGACTTTCTAATCCTACGGAAAACGCGAAACATGCAAATGAACTTAATGGGCCGATCGGCGCGAGGATATCGTTTTTCATATTTTTCTCCTGCGCTTCCGTGTCATTTTCAACGTGTACTCGCTGTAACGTTTATGATAAATGAAGCACAATTCATCGGTCTTAAGCTAGCTTTTAGCATTTCCATCTTTACGGTTGGATCGCCTTCAGAAGCGAAACAAGTAAATGGCCTGAGAATAAATCAGTTATTCGAATTAACAAAAAAATAAATTACTATATGTATCGTGTAGTATTAGGTAGATGTAATGAATTTCTCGCATCAAGCATGGTGTGCATAGAACTTTTAATTGGTCTGTTCCTAGTCATTTACGCGTTTCACTTTTGAAGATGATTCAAGCGTACGAATCGAAACGTAAAACTAAAAATGCACAAGATTGACGAACACTTATGAATTTGTCTTATTGCCGGAGAAAGCAAATTGAATCGAGCGTGTATTCAAGTAATTTAAAAAAAAAAAAACAGAGTAGCTAGATTATTTGAGTAAGATACCCGAAGTTATGTATATTTAGTTCAGTTCGATGAAACGAGTTTTATTCGCTCGAAGTCGGGCTCGTGCATCTTTTTATTTATTCCGTGAAAGGTATTAATTCCTCGGTTGCGTGTAAGGAGGAAATGATTTACGTAAGATTATTCATACATAATATACGCGATTAAAATTAGAAGGGGTAGTCCCAAATTTTGTAACGTATATTCCTCGTCTTGTGCAATTTTCTTTTGGCGGATGTCGATTGATGGTATACGGCCAGACCTTCGATAAAATATTATCGCGTTATAACGGATACTGTACCTTCTCATTTATCGTGGAAGATATTGATCACACGAAACACATGGAGGACCACATTACGTAGATGTAAAGAGGTGGCTGGTAGAGCGGGGGTAACCACTCGAACGTGTGGACGCTTGCATCGTCGTTCTCAACGTTAACAAGACTATACGGTCGCTCTTTTCGTTTCTAAACCTGTATCTGTCGGGGCATTTAATATTCTGTAGTTTCTTCGATGATTTTCTTTTTCAGCGATTTAAGTTATCCGCGTTCATCGTCTACGAACGACGATGCATACGTTCGAATAATAAAGTGATCTAATAACTCCGTGCAATTTCCTCCAATCCTCTGTTTTCGCGCCGTAAGCAACGAATAGAAGTGGATGGACAACTTACATCGAGGTTGGGTTTTAATTGAGGTTAGCTTCAATAACAGCATTTTAACAGCAGCTGGTCTCTCGAACAACCTACTTCTTGTTTTATTTCCTCCGTGCTCGTGTATCTTCATTGGCGTAATGAAAACGTTAAATAAATAAATTGCAGAAGAATCAAATGAAATAAATATATTTATTTTATATATTATTTTTTCTCGGCTAATTTCAAGCGGTTCGAATTAAATTAAAACGAAATAAGTAGATTTATTTGCTTCGATTTCTCTTAACTCATTTTACGTTTATTTAAAGAAAACCTTGACGCAAGTGTCCATCGTACGCCGCGAAACGAAAAATGTTTGGGAGACGCTGGCGCGTAGGGTGATTGATAGAAGCAATCACGTTCGAGCAGGGTTTAAAAGGTTTCAATCAGCTGGACGGTCGTTGATTGTTATAAACTGTAATTTTCTCCCTTCTGGCTTTCAACGAGTCCTCCGGGGGCTCATTAGACGGCGGCTGGAAAGGGTGACAGGGTTGTCCGTTCTTTTATTTACGTTCACCGACGCTTCTGTCAGGAAGGAAACGCGCTCTCCGTTTCCTTTTTCTCTGCGAGCGTGCAGCCCGGTCGCTAATAATTCGTCCATCTAACGTCGTTAGCTAGAAAAGAGGGAGCCTTGCAAAGCAGCCCGGTGGCCGTTCTACGCTGGTCAAGCCACGCAGAAACGCATAGTCTC